ATGTGCGCCTCGCAGGTGCAATTATTTTAGTATGCAAGCTCCAATCTACCCTGTTTTTTCGCATGTGCAGGGCTCCAAGCCGCATGTGCGACGTTGGGTGAAAAACTGTCTGAAATTCTGTTCAAATTTGTAGCTCACATTTGTATCAATACAACTTCATTCCATACCTTATAAGTCCCAAAAAATCTTCAAAAACACTTGAATTCACAAGTTCTAGCTTCAAACAAAAATGAGTGAGTTTAAAACAACCTCAAATTGTCATGAAGAAATCAAACCCTCACTTTGTTATGTAAATGTATAAACCATGCAAGTGTAATCTCTAAAATTCAAACTTCCATGGAAGTCCTTCTCAATTGAATAACTATGCAAGAATTTAAATGGATGAAACCAAATTTCCATGAAAATTGTGCCATGCATGTAGCTATGTGAAGTGAATTTGGTCAATTCTTCCATACCAAGACATGCATGTATTATCTATCAATTACATTCACACATCCTTCACATAAACCCCAAATTCCTCTTGTTCAATTTGAATTCCATAATTTATGAGCATAATTCTTAAACTTCAATTCAATTATATTTCATCATCTCATAGTCTTAATTACACTAAATTAAATTATACTAAGGTGAATTAGGCTCTAATTCCTATCCAATTTCTTAATTCTAACTTGTTAAAAAAATAACGAATCAGACAGGTGTAATCCACACCTATCTGTTCTCAATGACAATACCATATACATATATGACACATGGCACATATATCACAATTAACACATAAGCACTTGATCAATACTAATCACATAATTAATTTCATTAATTTACCTAATTGAGGAGACGGTTGTCAAAGTGACTTGGGAGAATTTTGAACAAATTTAGGGTTTTTGATCAAAACTCAAAAGAGGGGTTTTCTAATGGTTTCATGAAAATGGTTGTGGGATTAGAAATGAGGCTGAATTATGATAAAATAGTTGGTTTCAATATGTAGAATTGAATTTGGAAGAAAAATGGAGTTTTGCCCTAATTGTGTCAAATGTTGATTTTATATAAATTATGGAATTGGTGTTAGAAATATGAAATTTGATTGGTTTTGATGAGGATGGTGGAGTGAGCTATGTATTACCACTTACATCTTAGAATTTGGAAAGTTTATCTTTATGGAAATTGATTATCTGTTTAGAGATATCTGTTTTGGGCTATCGGTGTAGGATAACTATGATTGTTATAGAAATTACATGAGAATTAGGGAAATTTAAACTATTTTCTTATCCATTGTATTGAGCATTGTTGCATATTCAACACATTTGGAAATATTGTTGTTTTGAGAAAAAAAAATGGTGAATACTTTGGTGAATCTGGGTAGGAGTGTAGTTGTGATATTAAGTTGGCTTGTGTGTCCTTGGTGAAAGACTAGAAACCCGCGCAAATAGGTGTCTAGCTTCTGGTTAATATCGGTAAAAATGACAAATTGGTAGTACTTGTATAGTCTATTAGTAGACATGTCCTAGAGATTCACAATGTTGTATTCATTGTCCTGTTTGCTATTATAAAGGAAATGATATCATGTATTGAGAGGTAAACTTGGTATTGCACGGTTTTAAAAAGAGAAAATGAAAATATTTTGGCATGAGCATTGCATATGCATTCACCTTATATTTTTGTTAAGATTCTTAAATTGTGTTGTAGTATCTCTATTGGGGTTTGGCTCACCCTATGTGGAAAATCATTTTCAGGTGTTAATGACATACCTCTGCTAAGGCAATAGCTTTTGGGAGGACTTGGAGCAAGAGCTTCATTTTGTGTATTTATTGTATTAATTTTTTGTACAAGCCAAGGGCTTTAACTGTATTGGATTCGAATCCACTTTTGTTGTAACAAAGTATTGATTTGGAAAGCTGTAAGTTCTTAGGGCATTTCTTATTTGTTTAACTTCCATTCTATTTCTTTATTTTGCAACATATGCTATAGATTCAAGCCCAGGCTTATGAATGTATAACCGCATATGTGACTCTTTTGTAGACTCAATTGGACTTAATGGAATATCATTACTTCACCATTGTTGTTATTTATCAGTGTTGTAGATGGGTTATTATTTTTATTTTCGGGCGTCACAAGAAAATTGACATCTAATGCAATTTGATAACGTCGCAAAGCCTAGAAAGTACCACTAATACCTATTGTAGCGTTTTAAAAACATTGACTAAGTAGTCATCGTCTCAATTTTGTGACATTTATTAAACAATGCACTATTATAGCCAACATTTTAGAAAACATGGCTAAAAGATTAAAAGCACTTTAAATTTTTAGTTGGACATCTCATCTCTTTGAACATCTTGTTTTCAAATTTATTTATTTTTCGTTATATATCCCAATTAATTTCAATGTTATCCTTACTTAACCCCCCAAACCTTGACTTTATCTCAATCCAACCACCATATATACCACTACCTCTGGCCGTTACCTTTAGGCTCTCTTTACCCTCGTTTGCTACTCTTTAGTACCTCTCCAGTCTCTTTAGCCCATCCTTACCCTTATACCCCAATTCTCAACCCAGCTCATTCTTTTGCTACAACCCTCTTTTCTTACTAGGAAGCCCTAATCAAGTACCCTTCTTCGCTATGAACTCCCTTATTGTGATGCTAGCACAAGAGAGAAAATAGATCTAGAATTTTTATATTTAAGGTTTTGGGAAGAAGAAAAAAAAAGAAAAAAAAAAAGAGTAAGGTTAGGTTGCCATATTTATGTTGAAGTAGTGGCAGTTGTGGAGGGGTGAGAAGGGGTTGGGTTGTGGTTGCTGAAGATAAAAAAAGAATAAAGGTTGACAACAGAGTTGCGAGGTAGTGATTAGAGATAGGAATATGTTAAAGAATAACATATAAGATGGAAAAAAATATGAAGAATGATCTGAAATGGTTATTGGAGATAATAGTCTAGTAATTGTTGATAGTTGAAGTAATTTGCTTTAGAGTTAGAGTTTTAAGTTTTTTTTGAAGTATTGTAATTTTTAATAGGGTAAATTACACTGACACCCCCTGAGGTTTAGGTTTATTACAATTCCTCCCTCACCTTTTGGAAATTACATCTCCCCCCGAGGTTTAAAGTTTCATTACAAATTTTCCCCTTCAGCAATTTATTTTTTTTAAATACCAAATTTGCCCTCATTGAGTAAATTACATTGACACCCCTTACATTTTAGAAATTACAATCCCCTCCCTAAGGTTTAAAGTAGCATTACCAATTGTCCCTTCGGTTAGTATTAGTTGGAAAAAAAATTCATTGAAAAAAAAATTAATTGGAAAAAATTATTTGAAAAAAAAAAATTAATTGAAAAAAAATTTTGTTAGTAAAATTTTTAAATTTCTGTTTAAAAACTAACGTAAGCTCATTTTTTGAATTTACGTTTTTTCCTCAAATTTACAAACTGAGACAACCATTTATAAACTAAAAAAATTATCAAACAAGTTTTTATGACATTTTTTTAAAATTTTTGTAAATATAAATTGAAAATTGAAAACGAAATGGTTACTAAACAGGCTTTAGATGGTAAAAATATCATAAAATTTACAAATAATTAAATAAGTTACCAACGTAAGAAATTACTTATCAAAAGATTCTTAGGCTATGTATGGTTTGATTTTTAGAATTTTTTTAAAAAAATTAAAAATTAAAAATTATTTTGATTAAGAAATAAAAAATAAAAAATAATTATCATTTTTATATAATTTTTATCTTTCGAGTGGTTAGAAATAATTTTTTACAAATTAAATTGAAACAACCATACGTATGTATATAACGTTAAAATGATAATTATTTTTTACCCTTAAATGATAATTATTTTTTATTTCTTAACCAAATTAATTTTTAATTTTTTTAAAAAAAATTCTAAAAATCAAACTATATATAACCTAAGAATATTGTGATAAGTCATTTCTTACGTTGATAACTTATTTAATTATTTGTTAATTTTATCACATTTTTACCATCTGAGGCCTGTGTAGTAACCATTTTGTTTTCTATTTTTAATTTATATTTACAAAAATTTTAAAAACTGTCATAAAAACTTGTTTGATAATTTTTTTTTAATTTTATAAACGGTTGTCTCAGTTTATAAATTTGAGAAAAAAACGTAAATTCAAAAAATGCATTTATGCTGATTTTTAAACAAAAATTAAAAAATTTTGCTAACAAATTTTTTTTTCAATTAAATTTTTTTTTCAAATAATTTTTTTCCCAATTAATTTTTTTTTGATGAATTTTTTTCCAACTAACACTAACTGAGGGAGCAATTGGTAATGCTACTTTAAACCTTGGGGAGGGGATTGCAATTTCTAAAATGTGATGGGGTGTCAATGTAATTTACCTAATGAGGGTAAAATTGGTATTTAAAAAAAATAAATTGCTGAATGGGGGAATCTGTAATGAAACTTTAAACCTCAGGGAGAAAATGTAATTTTCAAAAGGTGAGAAAAAAATTATAATAAACCTAAACTTCAGGGGGTGTGAGTGTAATTTACCCTTTCTAATAATTTGATTTAGGGATATAAGGGTATTTAAAAAAAGAAAATAGAAAAGAAAAGAGAAGGGAAAAAAAAAAAAAAAATTTATATGCAATCCAGATACCGGGACAACCCACAAATAAACCCTAGATGCATCGGGTACGGGCCGGATACCGGGACCCCCCCCCCGCCACTCCCACAATGTGCCTGTTATCTATCTATACTATTATAAAGTGAACACAATTTATGGTGTCATGAAGCTTTACTTTCCTCATGTCATTTGGCAGTATTTTTTATTTTTTAAAAAAAAGTTAAACAAAGAGATGGACAAGACTTGAACCCATGACCATGGGTTTAAGAATAGGGACTCATACCACTTAAACTAAGTACACATTATAATATTAATTTCATTTTTATTTTTTTTTATTCCTATTTATTTAAATTGCACGCATCGCGTGTGGGCGGCCGCTAGTGTTATCATATGCAATCCAGTTCCAGTTCTGATATGCAGTCAGTAGTAGTCTTCTATAACTTTCCAGAAGCAATTCGGGCAGTTGGATTCCTCCAAGCCAGACCCAATCAATCAACAGTCCTTTGCTTGGTATTCGAGAGAACTAGTGAAACTTTCTGTGTTGCTCTTCTGATTCAACAATGGCGACTTTGATGCAGAAAATCAAAGACATCGAGGATGAGGTAATAATCTGTGTCTAAATTTGAAAACCCTAGCTACTTTTCCACGACTAGTCATGTTGGGTTTAGTTTCCGTAAGATTTTCTTGGAGAATAGTTTGTGGGGTTGTTTTCTGATTGTATTTTGGTTGTTTGATGAAAAACTGAGGGAAAGAAAGCAAGGAGGAAATTCTCAAGTTTTTTTCCTTACAATTTATGCTGTTTGTTTGATAACTAAGACGACGAAATTATCACGTTATTCGTTCGATTGATCTCTGATGAAACTATCGAGCGCCAATGAATTCTCTTTGTCGTTCATTTCCCATGTTTTTTTAGTTTTGGCCCTTTCAACCAATGATAGCACTCTGTATAGCAATTGCTGAAATTTTAAGTTGAAATGTATTCGTTTTCTAACAATTAGAATCTTCCATACTATTACTGGGCTTAGAACTCATCAGTTCATGCTCTACAAATTTCCCTAAGCATCTTAAAAATATATGGGCTGATCAGGTGCATTATTGGGAACCTAGCTTAATTTGTTTGCAAGATTTGTGGGTTCATGTGGGTCCAACACATGCTGCAATCATAGCGGCACATCTATGCATTCATCCTCGGTTTTGTAACTTTTTTGCTTTGTAAACGGAGTATAAACAGTTGGGACTTTCGCGTACGTTGTTTAATTGGGAATATACTAGCCTGATACCTGCCATTCAGATTCTAGAATAAACCTGAGAAAATAAAAGAAAATGTAGTCCATAGAATGCTTCCCTTGACATTTTTAGGCTATTTTTCTTTTTTCATTCATAACAAGAACTGAATGGAGTCCTGTGTTGCTTAAATTCTCTCTCTTATTCTGAGAACTTCTAGTACAGAAAATTCCTACTTTATTTGTGTGTGCACACTTGTCTGTGAGCTGAAATATATGGTCCTTTATGCATATTATGTAGTGTTTTTCATATCATGATAATTTTATATTTGAAAACCCTACAATCATGAAATAGTTACTATTCCTTTGTTTTAATTGGATTTGAACTAAACTTGTGCCAGTGGAAAGCTCTTTTTTGCCCAATTTTGAAAACCAAAGAATTTTTCCTATGAAAGATTGCATGAAAACTGGACCTTTTCAAGGGACTTCTAAGGGTTTTTGGATCATTTTTCTATAATCTATTTTGAATTCAATTTTAAGTACATAATACCTCACTCTAAGGCCCTATTGTTCCGATGGAGAGAAGAACCTAACAAAACATCCCCTTATTCTTCACTCTTTTGGATTTCAAGGTTCAAAGGTGGATTGTTTAGTCCATTTCTCAAGAAAAAGCCATAATTTTTCTAATTGTTTTGAAATTCAAGTTAGTGTTGTTATCGTCATAGGGAAATTTTTTAAAGGTGTGTGTAAGTTTTAGAACTAGTCAAAAAGAGGCATCTACTGTGGGTTCTACATGTAATCATTATTTATTTGAATATGTTGTTTTATATGTATGTGTACATGATGTTTGTTGTGTGGATACACATAAGATATACAAAAAAGCGATGAAATCCATTGGACAATTTTTTTATCTATATATAAATTATCAACAATGATTCATCCCACTAAAAACATCACCACTAATAGCACTAATGCATTAAAAAAGTAAAAAAAAAAAAAAAAAAAAAAAACTTCAAGACTAAAACATCACATCATTAATGACAGGACCCACTGCCACCTAATTAGTGGGAGCACTAATTAGTGCTCCCAAGCATTTTTCATAAATTATTTAGTATATTTTGGGAATGTAACCAACCATTAATTTAGATACTACTTGAATAGCTTGTTTGATGAATATCCCATTTAAACTGCACGAAACCAGCAAGTACTAGGCTGTATTTGTGCGTGTTATTCTTTTCTTTCCATTTTATTTATTTGATTTTGCAAAGCTCGTCCTTGAATTAGACATTCCTTCCATGCTTTGAGGTGGCAATGTTAGATTTAGGTTGTGTACACACTCATACATGATTGTCTCCTATCATTATCAGGAAACAAGGCAGATTTAATGGAAATGCATCTTCATTCTTCAATAGAATGAGAAGCAACTTTGTGAGAGGCTTCTGCCAAGTAACAGTCCATGTAAAATCTTGTCGTGCAACTACTACCCAGCAAGCTTTCAAATTATCCACCTTGGTGTCCCCACTACTTCCCCCAGAAAACCCATGTGTTCCAATCCGTAGACGCCGAAACCAAAGGCATGAATTTGCAAAACTCCTACAACATCCAGCGTCAACCAATCCGATTCTACACTACAAAACCATTCATGGCCGAATTGTCATGTCTGGTTTTCAATTTGATACCTTTCTCACAAACATTCTAATCAGCACGTACTCTAAATCTGGTTGCTTGTTCAATGCACGTGAATTGTTTGATAGAATGTTTGAAAGGAACTTAATAACTTGGTCTTCAATTATTTCTACGTATGCCCAACATGGTTATAATGTAGAAGCCTTAATGATTTTTTTGGAGTTTAGGCGAAGCTCAGATGAGAAGCCAAATGAGTTTATATTGGCTAGTGTTATTCGCGCTTGCACGCAGTTGGGTGGTATAGAAAAAGGTACCCAATTGCACTGTTTGGTTGTCAAGACAAGTCTTGATCAAGATGTCTATGTGGGTACTTCGCTAATTGATTTTTATTCGAAAAATAATGAGATAGAGCAAGCAAGATTTGTTTTTGATGATCTTTCAATGAAAAGTGCGGTTTCTTGGACTACAATTATAACGGGATACACAAGAAGTGGGAGGAGTGAAGCTTCATTGCAGTTGTTTAATCAAATGAATGAAACTGATGTTGTGCCAGACAGATATGTACTCTGTAGTGTTTTGAGTGCATGTTCAATGCTTAAGTTCCTTGAAGGGGGCAAGCAAGTTCATGCTTATGCGTTGAGGAGGGGAACAGAAATGGATGTGTCAGTGAATAATGTTCTGATTGATTTCTATGTGAAGTGCGATAAAGTGAGAACTGGACGAAAACTGTTTGATCAGATGGCAGTTAAAAATGTCATTTCATGGACCACAATGATTTCTGGGTACATGCAAAATTCTTTCGATTGGGAGGCCATGGAGCTGTTTATGGATATGAATAGATTGGGTTGGAAGCCAGATGGATTTGCCTGCACTAGTGTTCTCACTTCGTGTGGTTCGCTTGAGGCTCATGAACAGGGTAGACAAGTGCATGCATATGCTATCAAGGCAAATCTTGAAACCGATGAGTTTGTGAAGAATGGCTTGATTGATATGTACATGAAATGCAATTCTTTGACTGATGCAAGAAGAGTTTTTGATGGTATGGACTATTTCAATGTGATATCTTACAATACTATGATTGAAGGATACTCAAGACAGGAAAAGTTGTATGAAGCGTTGGATCTTTTTCAGGAGATGAGGCTTAGACTGTTGCCACCAAGCCTTTTAACATTTGTTAGCCTTCTTGGTCTCTCAGCTTCACTATTTACCCTGGAATTAAGCAAGCAAATCCATGGTCTCATCATGAAATTAGGAGTAGCTTTGGATGTATTCGCTGGTAGTGCCCTTATAGATGTTTATTCCAAGTGTAGTTTTGTTAAAGATGCAAGACTTGTATTTGAGGAGATTAATGATAAAGATATCGTAGTGTGGAATGCTATGTTTTTTGGCTATGCTCAACAGTTGGAAAATGAGGAGGCTCTCAAACTCTACTTAGAATTGCAGCTTTCAAGGCAGAAACCTAATGAATTCACTTACGTTGCCCTAATAACAGCAGCTAGTAACCTAGCAAGTCTCCCACACGGTCAGCAGTTCCATAACCAGCTTATAAAGACAGGTTTAGACTTTGACCCATTTGTTACAAATGCAGTGGTGGACATGTATGCTAAATGTGGAAGCATTGAAGAAGCTCGCAAAGTATTTGATTCTACTACTTGGAGAGATGTTGTGTGTTGGAATTCGATGATCTCAACGTATGCACAACATGGAGAAGCTGAAAAAGCTCTTGAGATGTTTCAAGAAATGATCAAGGTGGGAATAAAACCCAATTATGTCACATTTGTTGGTGTGCTCTCAGCATGTGGCCATGTGGGGCTTGTAGAAGATGGACTCCGTCACTTTGACTCAATGTCCAAGTTTGGAATGGAAGCAGGGACAGAACATTACGCTTGCATGGTTTCTCTCTTGAGCCGAGCTGGTAGACTTAATGAAGCAAAGAAGATTATAGAGAATATGCCAATACAGCCGGCAGCAATAGTATGGAGAAGCTTTCTTAGTGCTTGCAGAATTGCTGGTAATGTTGAACTTGGTAAATATGCAGCAGAGATGGCAATTTCAATTGATCGCAAGGATAGTGGATCATATGTTTTACTTTCAAATATTTTTGCATCTAAAGGTTTGTGGGTTGATGTTAAGAAGATAAGGGAGAGAATGGACCGCAATGGGGTGGTGAAAGAAGCAGGGTGTAGTTGGATTGAATTGAATAATGAGGTGCATGTGTTTATTGCGAGAGATAAAGCACATTGCAAGGCTGATTTGATTTGGTCAATTTTGGACAACTTAATTCAGCATATCAAAGGGGTTGGATATGTTCCTGACACCACAACAATTTTGATGAATGATTGAGGAGAAATACAGTGGCAATTTACAATGGGAACCTGACTAATCATTAATATGAAACCTAAATTTGATGGTTCATGTAGGTGATATTGGATTCAATGATATACAGACCAAAAACTCTCAGCTTTTGATCTTTTCCTGAACCATGAGAGTAGGAAAATTGCTATTAATGCTCCTGAATTTGAACTTGTGGGGTTCATGTTCATAAATCTGTGGCTTTGATATTGACTGACCATCTGAAGAAGGAGCAACGCAATGCTTGGTTTTTCCACAAGATGAAAACCTAGCTGCTTTTCCACGAGCAAGCTTGTTGGGTTTAGTTTGACTTGATATTAAGCTGTAATAGTTTGTGGGGGTGTTTTTGATTGTATTCTGGTTGTTTGATGAGAAACTGAGGGAAAGAAAGGAGGAAAATCCCAGTTTTTTTCAGCTGTTTGCTGACCAAGACAACGGAATTATCACATTATTTGTTCAATTGATCGCACTGAGGTGTAATTTGATTATTTTACTTTTGCCCAGTCAACGGAAAATATAAGTTCCCAATTTTCCTTTTGTTTCTCACTGACCAAAAGGAGTAATTTTGGGAAATGATTTATCCTTTTTACATGTGAAATATGGGTTTCATTTACAGAGCTTTTTTGATAGAGATATATTTGATGAGGCTATCAAGCCCCCATGAGTTTTCGTTGTTGTTTATTTCCCATCATTTTGAGTTTTGGCCCTTTCAACGAACGGTAGCACTCTCTATAGCAATTGTCGAAATTTAAGTTGAAATGTTTTAGTTTTTTATTAATTAGAAGTTGGAATGTTCATTCAACAAATTTCCCTAAGCATCTGAAAATTATATGGATTGATCTAATGCATTATTGGGTACTTAGCCTAATTTGTGTGCAAACCATCTTGTTTCTTTCTTTGTTCTTCTTCTTTTTTTATTTTATTTTATTTATTTTTAAAGGGTAGGGAACAATTCACTTGGCTTGACATGGAAAGTTGTGGTACTTAGGATGTCTAAACATTCGCCACATGATTGCAACATTTGTGGGTTCATGTAGGTCCAACAAATGCTGCAATCATAGCGGCAGAGATGCAGTCATCCTGGGTATTGGGATTTTTCTGCTTTGTAAATGGAGTATAAATAGTTGGGACTGTTCTGTAGGTTTGTTTAATTGGGAATATAGTAGCCAGATACCTGCCATTCAGATTCTAGAATGGACATGGGAAAATAAAAGAAAATGAAGTCCATAGAATGCTACCCTTGACATTTTAGGCAATTCTTTTCTTTCTCTCATTTCATTCTTAACAAGAACTGAACGGAGTCCTGTGTTGCTTGAGTTCTCTCTCTCATTCTGAGAATTTCTAGTACAGCAAATTTCTACTGTAGTTGTGTGTGTGCAGTGCTTGCGTGCAATTGTGTGTGAGCAGAAATTATATGGTCCCTCATGCATATTTTTGTAGTCTTTATATTGGAGCATAAATCTTCTCTTAATATGCTTGAAAAATGGGAATTTTAAGTTCACAGAAACATATTTAGCTCACTGATATTTGTCATAAGGATTGTATTTGCCCATGGCTTGAACTATTTAAGAATGTCAGATTGCCTTCTTGTTTATTGTAGATGGCAAGGACCCAAAAGAACAAAGCCACTGCCCATCACCTTGGTTTGCTCAAGGTATGCATTCTTATGTACTTATGTTGGAGGTGCCATTTTTATGGGAACCATGTGCCCTTATAATTTGTTATGCTCTTGTAAGGTTTAATTGTGTTTATTTTTATTTTAAAAATATTTTCTTTTATGACCAAGTGTTGATTTGATTTTGATGGCTTGACACATTTATTGTCTTTGGCATCCCCTTCCATCTTGTGCATATATGATACATAGCAGTTATTAGAAACGAGTTAAGTATTAGTTGCCATTCCTTGTCTATAGTAGTATCACTTGGAAAACTAAATTGTGTGGTTTGCTTGTAAACACTGAAAGCTTTTAGGCTTGGAAGTGGTAGTGGGAGAGGGGGGCTTGGGGATAAGGGAGTGGGCCACGTAAAAGAGTCTAAGATTGGGAGTGCTTAGGAGAGAGTTAATATGTTATATATATAAATATAAATATATTGTAAAAAATATTTTGTTCCTTAATTATAATATTTATGTTAAATGTCTATTATATTACCACTTGAATTGAAGAACATAAGCACAATAAATTCTCATTAGAAAAGTAACAATTCATTATCTTTAACACATACTTTACTCAATTTTTATAGACCCCAAACTGAAAGATTTATTAAAAAAAAAAAAAAGTCTTCATTCTCTGGTGGACAGAAAACACGCCTGTGTGCGCAGAGTTCTCTGCAGAGAGTGTAGAAAATTGATTTGAAAACGTAACCAAACATGATGCTCCAAAACACACGTAGAAAATTGATTTGGGAATACAAACAAACAGAGCCTATATATGTTCTCTACTGATTTTCTTTTGCCTTGATAACTTTTTCATTTTGTTTATTTGAGATTCATATATTTGAGTTTGTCTCATCCTAGTTGGAACTGCAATTCTATTTGGATGGGAACATGGTTTTAATAAGGTTCTTACTTTATACCACAGAATTACACTTTTAGAACAGGAATGTTACCCCTAATAGGAGATTCCTGCAACCAAGCTTTTAGCATCTCTAAAATAGTCGTCTTACAATGATTTTATGCATGTGTGTCTCCATGTGCCGTGTCCTACTTTTTTTGAATTTTTTTTCATGTTGACGTGTCTGTGTCATGTGTGTCACATGCCCCGTATACTTACTTCTTAGGACACGAAGGCAGTATCTCCCAGAACCATTTTTAACCTCTTTGATAAATACAAAATCAAACTAATTAGTCTGAAATCATTAATCGTCACAGAAATTTTTTTTTTTTTTTGGTGGTGATTTTGGAACCAAACATATTAATGTTGCATTTGTGCTCACAGTAATATCTCTCTAAAACCTCAACAAAGACTCTCATCCAATCATTCTTAATAATGTCCCCATAGTCTTGAAAAACAATCATTGAAAACTCATCAAGCCCTGGAACTATCTGTATTTCACAATTAAAAACTATCTCTAAACTCCAATTTTCCAAGAGGACTTTCCAACCATCTAGATTAAAACCCATCAATTGGGGCCCACTCTAGCCTTGCACACCCCATCTAGTGTTTACAGCCTAAAAATTTCATTCATGATTTGGTCCTCCTTATCCACAAAAATCCTAGGGCTGACCTCAAGTCTTCTAATAAACACCCCCGAGGGGTTAGACTAGTTGGCAGTGGGTTTGCTCGCCACATGCCTAATTGTGGTTCGACTCTTGTTGGCTCCTCCCATTTGCCCAAATCATGCCATTAGAGGATGTTGGTTGATCCTCGGGGTTACGCTCTTGGGGTGAGTTTAAAGGAAAGGTTCCCAATTATCAAAAAAAGAAAATATCTTTTGATAAACAACTTCATTTTTCCGTAGCAATTTTATGAAACAACTTAGAATTATTATCTCCCTCCTTTAGCCATTTCATTTTAGCATTTTAACTTCAAGAAATTTGTTCCCTGCCCACCACTTCCTCAAATTTAATTTTAAGCTCCGTCCTTTCTTTCCTGAAAGACTCATCAAGACCTCCCATAACCTCCAGGTCATCTAGTTCATCAATCGTTGTTATGATCATATTTTTATCTTCATTCAGATCCCCCGAAACCTCATTACATTACAATTTCCCCACCATTCACCAAAATATTTTTTTAGACCTGCGTTCCAACCACATATTTTCAAACCCGAAAGATGTAGGACCCCATTTAAAATGACATCTCTCAGGAACCAGTGGGCAATGATCTGAAACTACTCTTGGAAACATTTGGAAATATTTCTTCCCACCTCATAGAAAATAAGAATATTAAATTCTTTAATCATGTAGAGTAAATAATATTTAGTTTTCGTTAACATTGGGCTTTGATATTTTATGTATTCCATAGTTCTTGTGTGTAAGGTGTAATGGCGTTGCAAGTGTATGCATGCACAAAGTAAGTGGTTGTCTTTATATTTTGACAAGCATAATCACATTAAATAAATAGCAGAAGTTGCTGTTGATGTCGGGATTTTGGTATTTTATCTATTTTGTAGCTCTTATGTATAAAAAAATGCAACACAAATACAATGAGATTTTCTTGATATTTGACAAGTGCAAGAGATGGAAGAACTTCTATTGGAATCACATTTTGAACATCTAGTAACTAATTGGCTTTAGGCATCCAACAAAATGGAGGACAATGACATTCTCACAGGATTTGAAAGTTTTTCCCTTTGCTTTTGTGAAGTTTGCAGAAACATGTGGCGACTATAACATTTGGTTGTTGGGGTAGTTTGCTCTCACTTATAATCTGTTGCTTAACCGAACTACTGTTTGGATATTTTTTATGGGTCAAACAAGGCATGCATGTTAGGCCAGACAGTTCTGAAGTCCTTGTTCCTGTAATTCTACCCAGGGGGATATTATTATCTTATTTAATCTTTTGTTGCTTTCAAGAAGAGATCTGTGTCCATCTGAGTAAAAGTTCTTTGTATTTTGGAATGATGAGCATTTTCACCTTATACATATACTGCAGATAATTGTATTCTAACAAGAAGAGCATTTTAGTTGTTCGCTCTTCGGGATTGTTTGGGTTCAACCGAAGGGGGTGTTGGATATGCTTTGGAGTTGGCGGGGTGTTCAGATTGGACGTCGGCGCCAGCGAGTGTGAGTGTTGGCGCCGTTTTGTTTCATGTGGCTTGTTTGGTTGGAGCAGAATAGGCGAACTTTTCAAAAGGTTCATCATGGTGCTTCTTGGTTGGAGAGTTGTCTTTTGGTAGTTTTGTATAGTTGGATGGAGAGGAAGTTTGATCTAATATGTTTGTTTTTTTAGATTTTTTGGATGATTTATTGGGTTAGGCTTTGTTTTTTGCCCCTATGTGGGGTTGCCTTTTTGTATTCTTTGCATCATCTTGATGTTTTCTTAATAAAATTTGTTTATTTATAAAAAAAAAAAAGAAAAAAGAAGAAGAAGAGACAGTCTGCAACTCTTGCAGTAAATGCTCTTTAAATTATATGTAGTCATTCCCTTATAGAATTTTCTGTGAAAAGGTTACTACTTTGGCTGCTGCAAATCGAATGCTAGATCAGAGTTTTCCTTGGTGTAAAGTGAGTTGCCTCATAGCATATGGGTTTATCCCATCTTCCATTGGCATGGATAGTTGAGGAAGTGATGATGTAGTCATTAGAAGTTCTGTAACAATTTGGGGGAAAATTATTCTGAGCCCCCATTTCTTGATAAATTCATTGTTTTGTTCAATATTTGCTAATTTCCCCTTATTATTATTGTTGTTGTTGTGGTGGTGGTGATTTTGGTTAATTTAATGCTTGTGATGCTAGGCTAAGCTTGCTAAGCTACGGAGGGAACTTATTGCACCTCCGTCCAAAGGAGGTGGTGGTGCTGGAGAAGGTTTTGACGTTACAAAAAGTGGTGATGCAAGAGTTGGTCTAGTGGGTTTCCCTTCTGTTGGGAAATCTACACTTCTAAATAAGTTAACTGGGACTTTTTCAGAGGTAAGTAATCCTTGCATGTGATCTCATGCTTGTGTTCCTCCTTTAACGGGGAGATATGAGGCAATGCTGCCAATCCACATGTTACATTATGACTATTTTATGGGGGGAGCGTTATTCCTAAGAAACTAAATCTACATTTAAGGTTGTGTGACAAGTAATTCTACATTTAAGGTTTTATTTACATGAATATTTTAGTTCAATTGAGATTTTTAAGCATGTTAAATTGTGTTGATGTGCCTGTAACTTAATGGATCAACAATCAGTATTTAAGGCAATGCAATGGAATACAAGGAAGATTGTAATTTTTTGAATATTTGATATTTCTTTTCTTATTTTTGTGTATGTTTTTCTCCCTTCCCCCTTCTTTTTGTTCATTTAATTTAAACTTGCAGGTTTTTATTGATAAAAAAAAGCTTTATTAAACTTTGAGGCAAGTACAATCATGGAAAGGAGAAATTTCTTCTTAGGGGAACTAACTAAGAACCCTAGTATAGTGAAAACCACAGTAAGTAGGCTGTGAATTCAAAATTTTACTTTTTTTTTTTTTTGGGATTAGTATGGAAGTTAATTAAAAAAGAGCCACTGAAGCAGTATGCTCACTATACACTAAAACCCTATTCAAAGTCCTCTACAAAATCCAAAACTTGATTCAAAGATGGATTAATCATTCCCGAAAAAAACCAACCATACAAAAATGATAACAATTTGCTTTTTGACTCAAGATAGACTTTTCTATGCCACCATAGGTCATCCTATTCCTTTCAACCCCAAACTATCCATATAAGGGCCAGTGGGACCCGTCGTCCTCCTCTTTTCCACACAAGCTGTCATGGCCCAATTTTTAAAGATTAATTAGATGGAAGATCTAATGAACTTAAGTGTGATTTATTTAAAACTCTTATTATACCTTGTTATACTGGAACAGTTTGTGTAATAAATGAATATGTATCTAGTATGCCCAAGGGAAGCTGAAAGGTTTTATTGATTGTTTTTAAATGTGTTTGGTTCCACAAATAATTGCTTTCAGTTAAGGTTCTTGTTGAAGTTTTTCCATAGACCTTATGTTTTTCATGGTTCACAGGTTGCTTCCTATGAATTCACTACCTTGACTTGCATCCCTGGTGTGATCATGTATCGAGGAGCCAAAATCCAGGTATTTTATATGCATACTTGGAATGTGGTTCCCTTAGTCTTTGGGATAGTTTTCTACTTTAGTTGTGGCAATGCATTTTCTATCAATATGGAGCAAAATATTGTGACGGCCATAGTTTATAAATTCCTTCTAGCTTGACTCATAGCAAGCATTCTTTCAGGTTTGCCTTTTTGGCATTTTTTAAGAGTCATGTGATATGAGGTAAAGGATGACTAAGATGCTTTTGTTTCTTAGTGTCTTTTTGTGTATTCATGCATGTACTGTGGTGGGCGTGGTGGCCTTAGTTTTTCATCTTGCCATAAATATTGCTATAGAATAGAAACGGAATAGTGAATTGATTAAAGGTGATTACCATATTTCCAAAAGAAACCAAACCATAACTAATTTATACAGCATAAGATATTTTAGAACTTAATAGAAGTAATGATGTACAAAAGAAAGAGGACGGTGTTCATATATTGGGATCTATTAGATGTTAGATTCACATATGAAAAGAAGAATAATGAGAGAAGAACTGTGTTTATTGTGTTTGGTATCTTACTCTTAAACGTATTAGGGTTACACATATTTATAATGAAAGACTAAAGAAATAAATGACATAGCTATCCTTAAACCCTAATACTTAACACTCTACCTCAAATGGGTGCAAAGATATCTCTCATGTCCAACTTGCAACAAATGTGGTGGAAAATCTTACTACTAAGACCCTTAGTAAAGACATCAGCCAATTAATCTTCAGACTTCACAAAAGGCATACATAGTAGGCCCTGATTCAACTTCGCCTTGATGAAATGTCTGTCGATCTCAATATGCTTTGTTCTATTATGCTGAACAGGATTGTGAGCAATACTAATAGCAGCTTTGTTGTCACAATACAGTGTCAATGGTTCACTGCAGACAAACCCAATATCATTCAACAAGGACTGGAGCCACATCAGTTCACATATACCATGTGCCATAGCCCTGTATTTTGTCTCTGCACTAGATCTGGACACCACTGTTTGTTTCTTACTACGCTATGTGACTACATGTCCCCCCTACAAATGCACAATAATCAGAGGTAGATCGTCTGTCATCTATAGAACCAGCCCAATCAACATTCGTGAACACCTCCAACCTCAAGTGACCATGATTGGAAAATAAAATCCCTTTTCCAGGAGCAGATTTAAGATACCTCGAAATGCAATATACTGCATCCAAATAAAGTGCACGAGGCTCATGCATAAATTGACTCACTATCCCAACTGCATAGGCAATATCTGGACGAGCGTAAGATAAATATATAAGCCTTCCCACAACTCGCTGGTATCGTTCCTTATCCACAAGATCACCAACACAACTACAAAGATGGTGGTTAGCCACAATTGGCGAATCAGCAGGTTGGCAGCCTAACATGCCAGTTTTCTCAAGAAGATCTAGGATATACTTCCACTGAGAAATAAAGATGCCTTTGTCAGATCTGGCAACTTCAATCCCAAGAAAGTACCTCAACGGACCAAGGTCTTTGATCTCAAATTCTTTGGCCAACAGCATCTTAAGATGAGTCACTTCTTTCTCATCATTACCTGTCACAACTATGTCATCCACATATACTATAAGCACAGTTACCTTATTTGCATGGCATTTGACGAACATCGTGTGATCTGCATTGCTTTGCTTATACCCGAATCTCAACATAGCCTTCAGGAATCTGTCAAATCAAGCACGAGGAGACTGTTTCAAACCATATAACACCTTTTTCAACCTGCAAACTTTCCCAATTGTAGACTGAGATGAGAATCCTGGTGGTACATTCATATATACCTCCTCCTCCAAATCATTATGGAGAAATGCATTCTTCACATCTAATTGTTGTAAAGGCCATCTCAAATTAGCTGCACATGAGAGAATAGCTCGAATGGAATTCAACTTTGCTACAGGAGCAAAGGTTTCTTGGTAATCAATTCCATATATCTGAGTAAACCACTTGGCCACTAGTCGTGCTTTGTACCGTTCAATTGTTTTATCTGCTTTCTGCTTAATGGTGAACACCCACTTACACCCTACAAGCTTTTTTCTACTAGGAAGGGGAGCCAACTCCCAAGTGTTATTCTTGCTTAGAGCTTGCATCTCTTCTACCATAGCTACTTTCCACTGAGGATCATTGATAGCTTCTTTCCAACCCTGAGGAATACACCCAGAAGACAAAGACGAAATAAAAGCACGATATGTAGAAGACAATGAATCATATGACACAAATTTAGAAATGGGGTGTTGAGTATAAGCCCTAACCCCCTTTCTAAAAGCAATAGGAAGACTTGAATCATCGACCACGGGACTATCAACTACAGATAAGGGAATAGACTGAGGTGCATTACCTGGAACTGGCATGAGGGATGATGATGGATCTGGTAGCACAAGGGAAGCTTGCTCTTTCGAACGCTGAGAATAAGTTTTAAGATCAAACCTGTCTAAACGACCACCAATGTCAGGCTCCACATCAATAGAACTATTTGGCTCCCCCTCACCACAAATAACAGTCCATTGACTAAGAAGGAAAAAAGATAACTCGTGTTGATAGGCCATCTCCTCATCTGCAATCTCATCCATAACACTACTCTCCCCCGGAGGAGATGGTGGAGAAGAAGGAATCTCAGTTTCATGGAAAGTGACATCCATACTAATAGACACTTTGCAAGTGTGAGGATCATAGCATTTGTAACCCTTCTAAGTAGCAGAATAACTAAGAAAGACACAACGCACAGCCTTAGGATCGAGTTTCCCACGAGTACGAGGTTGCAAATGAACTAAACAGATACACCCAAACACCCGAGGAGGAAGAGAAGAGGTGGGATATGCGACAGGAAGTAGTTGAAGAGGAATCTAGAATTGGAGGACACTGGAAGGCATATGGTTAATAAGGTAAGCAGCGGTAAGAACAACATCACCCGAAAAAGACTTAGTGACATTCATGGTAAACAAGAGAGAGCGAGCAACTTCAAGAAGATGACCATTCTTGCGTTCAGCAACTCCATTCTGTTGAGGAGTACCAACACAACTAGTCTGATAAAGGATGCCATGCTCCTCTAGGTATGCTCGAAAAACTCCATCAACATACTCAGTCCCGTTATCACTCCGAAGAATTTTGATTTGAGTATTAAAAAGATTGGTCACCATTTCATGAAAAGTTTGGAAACAAGAAAAAACTTCACTCTTAGTTCGAAGCAAGTAAATCCAAGTCACACGGGAATAACAATCAGTAAATGTAACAAACCATCGATACCCAGAAGTAGAAACCACAGGGGAAGGGCCCCACACATCAGTATGAATAAGCATAAAAGGAAAAATACTTCTTTGATTAATTGAAGGGTAACAAGTACGTTTATGCTTTGCAAGTTCACAAGCATCACAACCAAAAATACTCCTAGGACAATCATGAGCTAAAGAAGGAAAAAGTTTCTCTAAAACACTAAAGGAAGGATGACTCAAACGGTGATGCCACTGATGAAGGAGATGAAAATGGGAGCCATTAGTGCACTTGAGAGCCTGAGATGGAACAGCAGGAGGAACGACATCTAGAAAGTACAGTCCACCTTGTGCTCTACCATGACCAATCATTTTCCCGGTAGCCAGTTCCTGAAAAAGCACAATGAGTAGGAAAAAAGGTCACTGAACAATTTAGAGAAGTAGTAAGACTGCTAACATAAAGCAGGTTAGTGGAAAAATTAGGAACATGGAGTACAGATGAAAGAGAAAGTGAAGAGGAACAATGAACTGAACCCTTGTCGGAGATAGAGGATAAAGCGCCATTAGCCACTCGAACCTTGTCTCGGCCGGAACAAGGAGAATAAGGATAGAAAAGACTAGAGGCACCTGTCATGTGGTCGTTGGCACCTGAATCAATAATCCAAGAAGGCGATGAGGATGCACTAAGAGCACTAGCAGGAATACCTATATGGGCAAAATTGGAAGAAGCTGAAATGGAAAAGCTGTGGTAGATGAAGAGTCAAGTCGAGCTATCAAACGCTTGAGAGTGTGTAACTCAAAAGAGTGCTAGTCTGCTCAGAAGGACTCGCAGCAATCTCAGACACGTGCTTGGGGACGAGCTGTACTACCACGACCCCGATCTCGAGTAGGGCGACCATTCAGTTTCTAGCAATGTTCTCGATCATGTCTGTCTTTCCCACAATAATCACACTTCAATCGATCTCGATCAACCAGGGTACCCTGAGTACCAGACTGAACCGGACTAGGCCGAGGAGCTCGAGTTGGAGGAGCAACAACCAAAGCAGAACGATCTTGAGTAGATGAATGAACCATAGCACTACGTTGACTCTCCTCTTGCTGGACAAGGGCTTAAGCCTCGCAGAGGGTGGGAAAAGGTGAACGACCCAACACCTGAACACGAATCTGATCATACTCCAAGTTCAAGCCAGCAAGAATGTCATACACACGCTCCTTTTCCATAGTTTGCTGAAACAAAGTGGCATCCCGAGAGCAAATAGCCTGGAAGCTTTGGTAATAGTTTAGTTCCTGCCATAAACTACTCAACTCAGCATTGTATACTGCGAGTGATCTATCTTGCTGATCTAAGCTCCGAAGCTTCTTCCTCAACTTATACGCCTGTGCATCATTATCCTTTTGGGAGTACATTTGGGATGCAGCTATCCAAATCTTATGAGCAGTATCTAAGAGAAGAAAAGACCGACTAATGGTGGGCCGCATAGAGTTAATGAGCCAGGTCATAACCAAAACATTCTCAGAAACCCATTGAGTACGCAAAGCGGCATCATTAGCAGGCTGGGGAAGGTCACTGGTAATGTAGCTAGTCAAACGGCGAGCAGCAATAGCAAGGCTACAAGAACGGGACCAAATCAGATAATTTGAGCCATCAAGTTTCACAGGACTGATTTGAAGAGAGGGACTATCATTAAGAGTCATAACACGATGCATGCCACCCTCGTCACTAACCCTAGGGTCTTTATCCTCAATTCCAGCCATTGGAAATCAATCCCCACAATAAATAACAGTCTAGGAAGCCAACAACAGTGCCAAAAACTCAACAAAAGACCAGGAAGATACCTGTACAGAGCCAAAACCGAGCCAGGAGAGCAAAAAATTGAACAAAACTGAGAGAAACCTCACCAAGCCTTCAAAATAGTGACTCTAGCCTCCTCTAATAGTCCAGTCGGCTCCCAAGGAAAGGGAAGGAAGAGAAGAAACAGCCCTAAAAGGGCTCTAGCAGTGGCTTCCAAAAAATAGCCATTTTTCCAAAAAATCAAAACCGAGCCAGGAGAGCAAAAAATTGAACAAAACTGAGAGAAACCTCACCAAGCCTTCAAAATAGTGACTCTAGCCTCCTCTAATAGTCCAGTCGGCTCCCAAGGAAAGGGAAGGAAGAGAAGAAACAGCCCTAAAAGGGCTCTAGCAGTGGCTTCCGAAAAATAGCCATTTTTTCCAAAAAATCAACAAAAATTGGAAAAACCACCAAATAATTCCCAAAAAATTACAAGAAAATCCTGGAGAGAGAGCCCATTAAATTTCGAACCTGGAGATTTTTTTTTTTTGGCAGATTTTTTTTCCTTCAAAAAAACGAAGAAAAAAAAGAGGAACAAGGAAATACCACAATCTTTAAGGAGGAAGATGTGGCTCTGATACCATGTTAGATGTTAGATTCAGATATGAAAAGAAGAACAATAAGGAGAGAAGAAGAGAGACTGCTGTGTTTATTGTGTTTGGTATCTTACTCTTAAACATATTAGGGTTACACATATTTATAATGAAAGACTAAAAAAATAAATGACATAACTACCCTTAAACCCTAATACTTAATAGGATCCCATGTCACCACTTCTAAATAATTAATTATTTCTAATGGTAAAACCTTGGTCTAATAACTTTGAGGTTATGACACACATTAATGTGTACTACTTGGGCGTTGTTTTTTTTTTTTTAACTGTCTTGCTTTATAAAAGAAATAATTGTGCTTACCCTTTTCAATTCTAAGGCAGCTAACACAGTTCTTGGGATGATTTAAAACTTTATTTTCTGAAAAAAAAAGAGAGTATGCCATGACGTTGCGGGGTGGCAATTTCAACTTTCAGTATGCTAGAGAAGACCTGACTGAATGAGTAGTAGGAATATGTCAATTTTATGTTGTGATTGCTCTTGCAAGATCAGACAATTAACAGAAACTAGTCCTAGTTTTGGTTAGAAGAGCAATGAATGTTTCGGTATGCTGAAGGGCACGGATTACAGAGGAACTAACTAAATGCTTGAGAATGTAGTAATCTTATATGGTGATTAATTGTTGCTTTTGCAAGATCAGATAATTTGATCATAAACCAACCTTAGTTTTGCTTTCAAGAATTATAAATTTAGGTAGAAAATAATGTTTTTTTTTTCTCCTCGTTTTAATTGCACCTGTTTACACCATGTTAATACGATCAAGATAATTAGCAGTGTAGGAAGCATTGCATGTGTTGGAGACAATTACTTGATGCAATTAACATTTATTTCATTTAAGGTATTTATACTTCCTCTATCATTTTTTCGTAGCTCTTGAAGAACCTTTTTGGAAGAAAGGAAGAAGGGATTGTAATTAAGATTTACAGGAGGTGGATAAGGTTGAAGAATGGTAGTTAAGTAGGACAAAGTGGGGTAGTTAGATTTGGGGAAAAAAACGTGGTTAGGGGGGCAGGGGGTTGGGGATTGGCGAGGAAGGACATGGGATTGGAAAAGAGTGTGATTTGTGAATTGTGGTTTTGTTTTTTTTTTTTTTTTAATTTCTGCTCTCCTCTCTTAGTGGACTCTTGTCCTCTTGGAACTTTTTTTTTTTGTCTTTAGTAAAATTTTCTTTGTTGCTGTTAAAAAAAAGGGGTAAATTACAAACACCCCCCCTAAGGTTTACTTAAATTACAAATTATCCCCTGTAATTTTAGAAATTACATTGTGCCCCCTAAGGTTTCTAATTTCATAACAAATAGATTCTTTTATTAATAAATTATCAAGTTAATTAACAGTTTTTAATAATGTTAAAATTTTATTTCAATTAATAATTTAGATAATTTTATTATTGTGTAGGTAAACAATTAGAAATTTCACTTTTTCAATTAATTCTGTTAAATAAAAAATTCTGACAGGGAGGTATTTGTAATTTTTCAAACCACAGGAAACAATTTATATTTTAAGCAAACCTCAGGGGGTGTATTTGCAATTTACCCATAAAAAAATACTTTGAGTAAATTACACTTTCCCATTTTATGTTTGGTCACTTTTCCACTTTGACCCTTAAAGTTTTTTTTTTTTCTTCTCACTTTGGTCCTTCATGTTTCAAGTTTTTTCTAATTTACTCCTAAAGTTAATTTATGTTCCAAATTAAACAAAAAGTAATACATTAACAGTCACGTAGTAACAAATAGATTCTTTTATTAATAAATCATCAAGTTAATTAACAGTTTTTAATAATGTTAAAATTTTATTTCAATTAATAATTTAGATAATTTTATTATTGTGTAGGTGAACAATTAGAAATTTCACTTTATCAATTAATTCTATTAAATAAAAAATTCTGACGGGGAGGTATTTGTAATTTTTCAAACCATAAGGGGCAATTTGTATTTTAATCAAACCTCAAGGGGTGTATTTGTAATTTATCCTAAAAAAAAAAAGAAGGAAAGAAATGAAAAGAAAAAAGGAAATAGGGAGAGAGACAAGATCTTTGACAAAATGATATCATTGTGTATATAATCAAGAGAATTGTGTCACATGGGCTAAAAATTTAGTATTTGCAAAGACCACCCTTTTTCTCATTGAAAAGTAAAGATGAAGATAGATAGAGCCAACTGTCCATGGTATCACTGTGCTCAGTTTCATTGCATTGATTTGTGGGTTAATTACACCAAGACCCTTTCAACTATTACCGAGGGGGTAAAGTGATACTTAGTAATAGTTGAGGGGGTCTTGGTGTAATTAAACCTTGATTTGCCTATGGTTGGACAAGACATGCAAATGTGTTTTAGTTTCCGTACTCTATTTCTGACATACAAGGGGGGGGGGGGGGGGGCGCTGGCTGTTAAAGCTAGGGTACTAGAAGAGTAAATGATTGTTGGGATGAAGTAATATGATGCATGCTTAGTATTTTGTTCTTTTTCCTTCTCTCCCGATGAATAGTGCAAATCCTATCCACAAACTCATCTTTGGCTCGTTTCCTTAATAAATCATTACATAAGTTAGTGCAATGTGAATCATGCTTTTTCTTTCTCCCCCGATGATTAGTGCTCTTTTTGCAAATATCATACGCAGAACTTTTCTTTGGCTCACTTCCTCAATAAATCAATACTTAAAATAATGCAACACAACTTCTGGAATATATTTTGTTACCACTTGCACCTCTTGCTTCTCAATTTTCACTTGTAATACTTTTAACTAATTTTCATCTTTTATTTTTATTTTTACAGTTGTTGGATCTTCCTGGTATTATTGAGGGTGCTAAAGATGGAAAGGGTAGAGGGAGGCAGGTAAAAATATGAGTATTGTTTTACATCTCTTATCATATGAGATATTTGTATTGCCCTTGCTTACTAGTGCTTTTGTTGTACCTCTCTTATCATATACGAGATTTGTATTGCCGTTGCTTACTAGTGATATGGTGTATACTCATTTATAGCTAGATATTTCTAAATTTGAATTTTCATTATTATCTAGAATCAATTGCGTACTTGTGTACCTAAAATTTTTATTTGGTTCCCATTATCTTGACCAGTTAGCCCCTCTGCCATATGCTGGATTGACGTTTATATCTTTTGTTGAAAATATGTCTCCCCCAATTGCTGGACCTTTGGTTTTATTTTGGTCTTTGAAAGGCTTGCTCAGGGGTTTGGCCATTGCCTTCAAGGAAAAATGCTGTTACTCAAATGCAACATGCACTTTTATTCACTTTTAAAGTGTAGTCTTGAGATTGTGACATAGTTGATAGTTTTGGGTAGAAGTCAACCTCAAAAACTAGTTTGTGAAGTGAGGGTGTCCTCACACTTATACACTATAAATTCCCTTTGCACTCAAGCGATGTGGGACTTCACTGCACACCCTCTCTCATGCATAGTGTGTAGGGCCTAGGATACGAACTCTACCCATCCCTGCAGTATGCCCAACTCTTATACCATGTGATACGGTCTTAGGTAGAAATCTAACCCCAAAAGCCTAGCTTGTGAAGTGAGGGTCTTGCTTATACACTGTACATTTCCTTTGCAAGCTGGCAAGGTGGGACTTTGTTTCACAGAGGGGACACTTTATTTTTGTGAGAGTGATAAAATGGAATTAGGCCTGTTCAATTTAATAGTGGCATATTCTTGTCCTTAGTGTATGGGTCGGATGTATTTAACACGAACACAGGTTAGCAGCAAATGTGCATACCAAGTTTTTGTAAGATATGTTTATCAAAAGTATTCTAGATTTTGTTTAGGCAATTTGGTTGCTAGGGTTAAAGCTTTGCTCATGAATGTTCCTTATACTTCCAATTGTTGTGTATGGAAAAAAAAAAAATCAACGTTACGAAATATGTCAAAGATGATCAGCTTCGGCAATGCTGATACTATTATAATTTATCATGAATCAAGAAGAGCATTCTGCCATTATAGTCCTACAATGGGTATGTATGCGTATGTAGTAACTACAAGTTATTTTAGTGTGTACTTCATTGTTTTGGAGACATATCCATTTGGGTTGGAGATTGAATATCCGATATAACTGCTTTTTTGATACTATTGTTTTATGTTCGATATTCTTGCACTTGTTCATTATATCAGTATGTGAACATATTTTCGTCACAATCCAGGTCATCAGTACTGCTAGGACGTGCAATTGTATTCTAATTGTTCTTGATGCAATAAAGCCGATAACTCACAAACGGTTGATAGAGAAAGAGCTTGAGGGATTCGGCATAAGGTAATTTGAATACTTTTGGATTTTTGTGGCTCTCTTTGCAACTAGTCTGCTTTGTTGTTCTAAACATATAGTGTCATACTTCTACCTGCTCATCCCATTTTTTTACTTCCATAAACTCGTCATATTACTTGCGCCATCAAGCATTTAAATATATCGATGCTTTTACTTGGTATAAATTTTAACTTCTTGGGGAAATGGTGGGAAGACTTTAGCTCATTGCACCTAATTGTTTGATTTTCATGGATTCCTTTTTGTTTTTTTGTTTTTTTCCCCCAGTCATAAAATCTTTCTCATTCTATTTGAGTTTCAGCTTCCAGTAGTCAACATGTACATTGAAGTTAGTGCGAATGCTTCCACAGGACCTATTGGAGTGAAAGCTTAACTGTTTTCTGTTGGACTTCATGGCACAAACAGTTTAGCTGTGGTTAAAGCAAAATAGTAATTAAATTTTTTAACTTACTTGTCCTCATTGGTTACATTCGTATGTATGACGTTCACATATAAGAATGTCTAATATGTTGTTAAATTTTGTGAGGTGTTGGTGGGTGTTGTGAGAGTTGGGGAGGGGAAATCGATGGTGTGGAATGTGTAGTTGCGTCACAATGTCCAGGGTTGGAGCAAGATCAGTTGGTGGAACTTCTAGGGTTTTTATATGGTTTGCATCTTGGGAGGGTAGGTCAGGATTCCTTGGTTTGGGATTGTCCTACATCCAAAGGAATTTTTACTGTGTCTTCATTCTATGGGGCGCCTGTTCAGTATGTGTATGCACATGATGTCACTATGGTTTATCCGTGGAAAGGTGTTTGGGTGCCGGGCTTGCCATCCAAAGTTGCCTTTTTGTTTTTGGATAGCGAGCTTGGGCGGTATCTTGACTATTGATAATTTGATTCGTCGTGGGCATATTTTTGTGAATTGTTGTCTGTGCGGTAGGGCATTGAAATCGGTTGACCATTTGCTTATTCATTGTCCGGTCTCTTCTCGTCTTTGGATGCTTGTGGTTGCAGTTTTTGGTTTAGTTTGGGTTCAACCGGGTTCTGTATTTGCAGTTGTGCAAAGTTGGAAAGGGGGGAGGATTGGGAGGATGCGTCGAAATGCTTGGCTTCTTGCTTCACACTGTTTAATGTGGTTGATTTGGTTGGAGCGTAATAGGCGGGTGTTTTAAGGGGTGGCTCACTTCATTCCTTGGTTAGAGAGGCGGCTTCTTATAGTTTTGTATAGTTGTGTGAGAGGTTTAGTAGATCTGGTTGTGTTGGCTTTTGTAGATTTTTTAGAGGATTTGATTTGTTAATTTGGTCAGGCTTCTAAGGCCACTTTTGTATTCTTTTGCATCATCTTGATGCTGTCTCAATAAAGTTTGTTTATTTATCCAAAAAAAAAAATGAAAATAGAAGTATCTACATGTTTTTGAAATGGTGCTTCCCTTATTTGTGATGTTGCATATAACTCGGAGGAAGAAAAATTAGAAAATCAAAATTACATTCTGTAAATCTATGAAAATTGATAGTTACCATTTTCTGTGCCATTTTTTTTTGTAGTGGATCTGCTCCGTCAAATTGTCGTTCTGTATGAAGTTTAAAATGATTATTACCAGTTATAGTTCATTACTCAGTTGTGCCAAAATGTCAAAAAAATAGTTGTGGATGCTGTATGAAGTGGAATCCCTTGATTCATCAGCTGTTTATTGTCAAAACCACAATAAATGATTCATGTGCCTTAAACAGTCTTTTGCCTAGTTTCTAAACATCTTTTTTTCTTTGATGGTGATTGTTTAGTTCTATATGAGTGACAAAATATAGATTCTGGATCAGAAGAATCTTCCTTTCTCATTTTTGGTTGTGATCCTGTGATTAATTTGTCATGATTATGCCAAATGATAGCTAGCATATCTTTTCATTCCACTCTTTTCTCCCCTCCCCCTTTCCTTTGTATTTTTCCTAGTTTAGAATCTTTTTATTATTTATTGTTATGTGATTTGTGAGTAATCGGCTCTGGATTTTCTTCCTTTTGGCCTTCCATTTCCTTCCTATGCATTAAACTTTTTAAAGTGATGATTTGGATTGAGGATTTGCTTAGAATAAAATCATGATTTGGGTTTTAAAGTACTCCCTCTGTCCCAAAATGATAGTCCCTTTTGCGAAATCTAACTTTTTTTGATAGTACAATTATTGCATTTTAAAAATATTAATTCCAAAATTACCCTTTGGTAGCATATTTTTTTTTGGGAATATTAATTGTCATAATTGTACTTTTTGTGTTGTTAATAAATTTAAAAGAAGAGCAAAATAGGAAATTCATATTACTTAAGTTCTTGATTTTTGAAAAGGGACTAATATTTTGGTACAATGAAAAGTGGAATAAAGGACTAATATTTTGGAATGGAGGGAGTACTTTTTTCATTTTGGACACCTAACACTCAGACAAAGGTGTGGGATATGTGTTCGATACTTTCATTGGACACTTCTTATATATTTGTTTATCATTATATATATATATAATGTATTATATGAATATATTGCTGTATAATTGTTATAAAATGAGTAAAATACCTTTTTGACAATGTATGTTGCATATAACATTATTTTATCTCACACATGGCCCAACCTCTATATACACACCCGCATCTGATATCCACACCTGTGTCTATGTCACATAGATTATATGTTCAGTGTTTAACATTTGTGTAATAGATTTGCAAACATCATGGACAATGTGGCCTCAGGGTTGACTGTTTTATAATCTTATTACTACAACTTCGACTGTAGTGAGTCAAACACATACTTGGCATCCTACTTCCTAGAGCTATATTTGTTTGCTCCTCTCTGCAGTGACCATATTATTTTTTGTACTCTTCTCTCCCGAGAACAGGTTAAACAAGGAACCCCCAAATTTGACGTTCAGGAGGAAAGACAAGGGTGGAATTAATTTCACATCAACAGTTACCAACACACATCTGGACCTTGATACTGTGAAGGCAATATGTAGTGAATACAGAATACATAATGCTGATGTTAATCTTAGGTACGATGCAACTGCTGATGACCTCATAGATATCATTGAGGGCAGTAGGGTATATATGCCTTGCATCTATGTTGTAAACAAGATTGATCAGATAACACTAGAAGAGCTGGAGATTCTGGATAAACTTCCTCATTATTGTCCGATCAGGTAATCCCATCAATCAATTAAAGCTTTGCGGTCGAATGTTTGTTTTGAACTGCAAAAACAGTTATTTGAATTACTTATAGAAAAAAAAAAAAGACATGTAATTTAAATTGGATTGCATAAGTAAACATTTTGAGTTAAATTGGATTGCATAAGTAAACATTTTGAGAATTAAATGGTGGATGAACGCCATTTTTGTAGGTTCTATTTGGTTAGATATGTTTTAGTGCTTAAAATGCATCACATGACTTTATTATTGATTCCTAAAAGTGATTTTATGCCTATAGAAATGTTTGTATTTTTCAATTTATTTTCTTCTTGTTCCCTAAATTTGAGAGGCTGAAACTGTTTGCAAAAAGAAATCAAGTCTGCATATTCCCTTTATGCTAATCTATTTTTGATACTACATTCTCTAGGGAACATCCATATGCACTTTTCACTTCATTGGAAGTAATTGCGAAATCTATTTTTGATATTTCATTTCTCTAAGGAACATCTGTATGCATTTTTCACTTCACTGAAAGTAATTGTGAAAACTGGTTATTTAATCATGAATCTTGATTCTGATTCTGAGGTTTCTTAGACTCAGATTTGGGTTCTTTCTGCACAGTTCCTTTTAAATTACACATGTATGAATCTATGAAGCACGGGTACTACAAAAATGGTGCCGTACGAGTACCGGGTACTTATTGGGTGCAGGTACGCGTACCGGTACGCCGAATACACGCTGGGTACGGCAAATACATTTGGGTACAGCACTGGTACGGAGAGGTGATTTTTTTTTGCAACTGCTAGAATTTGTTGCAGCCTTTATTATTCTTCTTTCAATTTTGAAAATATCAAAGTAATTTATTTCCAACACCCTTTACCCATGAGTCATGGTTTTGCTCTCTTTGTATCCTGTTTTAGACAATCAAAAAAGAAAAATAAAGAATTATATAACTTTTTAGACAAGTTCTCTTTTTAGTTTTGATATTGAAATTTTGATTTGTATGTTGGATGTTTAGCTATAAATTTAAAAAACATCGACGTACCCTAGCCATATCCGTACCTTACTTTTTAAAGAATTTGCTGTATCGGCGTACCCGTGCCCGCACCCGTGCTTCATAGGTATGAATGCATGTGCACGTGCTCACATATGAAAGTCCAAATTTCAGAACTGTATTGTAATCATAGAAAGGATATGGTAAATTATGTGGACATGGCTAGCATATTGGTTGTATGCTAATCTCCACCGGCATAGCCTTGGAAATACCTTACGGACTTTATGGAAGAATTGCCCCTAGATCCGGACTTGCTCTAATACATGGAATAGATGTTGGAGCAGGAGTCATTGACCCTGACTACAGAGGGGAAGTTAAAGTACTCCTTTTTAATATGGACGCAATGGCGAATGAGATACATTGATGAATATGCTAATCTTATTGCCATAGGCGATGAGAATGAAGAACTAGCTCATAATATTGCTGTCATCTATGATCGTGTCTGTCTCTCTAGTAAAGTCAACCAGGCTAGTGTAAAAGCACTAGCCAGTAATGAAGGAGAGTTTTCAAAAGCACATTGAACAGCTTCTTCAGCTTAAAGTAATCAGGCCAAGTAAAAGTCGGCATCGTACCACTGCATTCATTGTAAATTCTGGTACATATATTGATCCTGTCACAAAGGAAGAGAAGCGTGGCAAAGAAAGAATGGTGTGTAACTACAAAAGGCTGAATGATAACACCCATAAGGATCAATACAGTCTACTTGGAATAAATACTATAATGGCAAAGATTGGTCATAGTAGTATTTACTCTAAGTTTGACTTGAAAAGTGAAAGGCCCTCATATACGGCAGGACGATCAAATTTCAGACGAGGAGTTCATAATGAAATGTGGAATTTGCCATCTGCCATGCATCATACAGGAGCCATGTTCGTTATTCCACAGGCTCTTGGAAAATTTGATGACGCCTTTATGCGGTGGGAGTCAATTACACGATCCTATGTTGCTTCTCAAGGATTTACTGATGTTCGGGATAAACTCCTGTTTATGGAAAATCTCCTTGGAGAAACAGAAAAGCTAATATGGACGCAATGGCGAATGAGATACACTGTCAAAGTCTCACCGGAAATTTACCATTGTCAACATGAATGGGATCAACAGAACCCATTACCAGAAGATAGAAGACCGGAGTGCACCATTAAATTCAACGGTATATGAATTTTCTTCCAAGGCATCAGCTGGGACTGATTCACAGTCTACAACGCAAGTTGTTGCTCCAGTGTCTAAGATTGCGTGTAGAGAAATCTTCTGAAGATTAGGAATTTCAAGTTCCACCGTGAGGTTATAGAGCATATTCTTCCTTTTCTCTTTTACCTCTCCCCCAGCTATCATTTCTTCAAGAGCAAGAGCTGTTTCTTCAAATTGTACATGAGTTTCTTGCTCCAATGCTTCTGCCTCCAAATCATGAAGCTCTTCTTCTTTATACTTCCCTTTCCTTCTGAGCTCCCGTTCATCATCTTGTAGCTGCATTACCATCTTAAGCTCTTCAAGCTCCGTCTTGTATTGGATTGCTTCCTCTCGAAGCCTCTTCATTTCAGCTTCACACCATCGAATGTATTCTTGTTGCTCCTGGAGTAGTGGCAAAAATGATCTGAGCGATTCTATCTCCAGCACGGACTATGAATTCCTCCTGATTATGATTAAAAAGGAGTACTTTAACTTCCCCTCTGTAGTCAGGGTCAATGACTCCTGCTCCAACATCTATTCCATGTATTAGAGCAAGTCCGGATCTAGGGGCAATTCTTCCATAAAGTCCGTAAGGTGGAAAAATGTACATAGGGGATAATTGGTTGAGAATCCCCTACACATATAGTTTCCCATTCCACCTTGGAGGTCGAATCCAGATGATCATCGGATGTAATTTTATCCGAGCAATGTATGGAGGAGTCAGAATAGAAGGCGATAATGTTACATTCTACAAGAATGTAATAACAATTCAGACTCGACAATCAGTAAATCTTCTGGAAGGACTTGAAGAAGAAGAAGACTTGACAGTGGACCACTATTATGATCCTTCAACTGAATGGATATTTCATTCCACTAAAGTCAGTCCTCATTTTGAGCAGAAATTCTCAGCAATAATGGAGCAGCTCAAAAACTATGGTATCATAGGCGATGATCCTATGAAATATTGGTCACTAAATCAGATTACTTGCAAGCTGGACCTGAAGAATCCTGATTTCATAATCAATGACAGGCCAATGAAGCATGTGACTCCAGCAATGAAGGAGAGTTTTCAAAAGCACATTGAACAGCTTCTTCAGCTTAAAGTAATCAGGCCAAGTAAAAGTCGGCATCGTACCACTGCATTCATTGTAAATTCTGGTACATATATTGATCCTGTCACAAAGGAAGAGAAGCGTGGCAAAGAAAGAATGGTGTGTAACTACAAAAGGCTGAATGATAACACCCATAAGGATCAATACAGTCTACCTGGAATAAATACTATAATGGCAAAGATTGGTCATAGTAGTATTTACTCTAAGTTTGACTTGAAAAGTGGATTTCATCAGGTTGCTATGCATCCTGATTCTATTGAATGGACAGCATTCTGGACACCCCTTGGATTATATGAATGGTTGGTGATGCCATTCGGATTGAAGAATGCTCCAGCAGTGTTTCAAAGGAAGATGGACTTATGCTTCAAAGGAACTGCAGACTACATTGCAGTCTACATAGATGATATTTTAGTTTTCTCTCCTGATGAAAAATCCCATGCAAAGCATATCCAGTCCATGCTTGAAATCTGTAAGAAGAATGGGCTAATCCTGAGCCCAACAAAAATGAAGATAGCAGCTGTTCAGATGGATTTCTTGGGCTCAACAATTGGGCAAGGGGAAATAAAGTTGCAGCCCCACATTGTTACAAAGGTAGCCCAGTTCCCAGATGATACTCTCAAAGAAACTAAGGGCTTACGCTCTTGGTTGGGCCTTCTCAACTATGCAAGAAATTACATCAAGGATTTGGGCCGAATGTTAAGCCCACTCTATTCAAAAGTCAGTCCAAATGGTGAAAAGAGGCTCAATGCTCAAGACTGGGATTTGATCCACAAAATTAAAGCCAAAATCCAGAAGCTGCCAAATCTATCAATTCCTCCATTGCGATGCGCCATTATCCTTGAAACTGACGGATGTATGGAAGGATGGGGAGGAATCTGCAAGTGGAAGCCAGCTGCTAATGATCCTCGCTCAACTGAAAAGATTTGCGCGTATGCCAGTGGGAAGTTCAATCCCATCAAATCAACAATTGATGCTGAAATATATGCGTGCATGAATTCTCTGGAATCCTTCAAGATATATTATCTTGATAAACAGCAGCTAACTCTTAGAACTGATTGTCAAGCTATAATCAGTTTCTTCAACAAAACAGTGGACCATAAACCTTCACGGTCTAGATGGATAGCCTTTACAGACTACATAACCGGCTTAGGCATAGATGTATCTTTAGAACATATTAATGGTTCTGATAATACTCTAGCTGATGCCCTTTCAAGGCTTGTATCTTTTCTTGTAGAAGATTTGCATCTCTCTCTCTCTCTCTCTCTCTCTCTCTCTCTCTCTCTGTGTATATGTATATATAATATTTTCTTCCATATGTACTTCAGTAACTAGAAGTCTGAACAAAATCACTTTTTTATTTTTTTTTCTTCTTTTGGTAAGGGAATACTGAAATAAATAACAAGCCCACAAAATACAATAGCCGAAACTATCTTATATTTTTTGTTTAGAAACTTCGAAGACTAACAATTGAGATGTGGCATATGCTCATCTCCACTTTTATTTTTTGTCTCCACTTTTATTTATTTTGGTGATGGAGGCATTGAGCCGGTTGATTTATGGGGTGGTTCATGGGGGTTTGTTGTCTAGTTTTGAGGTAGGGGTGAAGTCTGTTCCTTTGGTGGTTTCTCATCTTTTTAACGCAGATGATGCTTTGATTTTCTGTGATGCGGATACTGTTCATGTAGGCCATTTGCGGTGTGTGTTGCTATGTTTTGAGGCAGTTTCTGGGCTTCGAGTTAATTTGGCCAAATTGGAATTGATTCCGGTGGGAGAAGTGGTTCGTCTACCAGTGTTGGTGACTGTTTTGGGTTGTAAGGTGGCTAGGTTACCAGTTTCTTATTTGGGTCTTCCTTTAGGGGCCACCTTTAAGGAGTTAAGGGTGTGGGATGGGGTGGTGGACAGGGTACAGTGGCGGTTGGCAGGATGTAAGTGACAGTACTTGTCAAAAGGGGGACAAATTACTTTGATTAAGAGTGTTCTTTCTAGTATTCCGACGTATTTCATGTCAGTGCATGTGATTCTTGTGGCGGTGGCCAAGAGGTTGGAGAAGCTTCAGCGGGATTTCTTGTGGGGTGGGGTGAGGTGGGGGGGTGGGGGGAGGAGTTGTCATTATCATTTGGTGGATTGGGCTAGAGTTTGCAGTCCTGAGGACAAGGGAGGGGGGTTTGGGTGTTCGCAGATTGGTGGTGTTTAGTTGGGCTCTATTAGGGAAGTGGTTGTGGCGTTTTGTGGAGGAAAGGGAGCGGTTATGGAGGAGCGTGATTGTGGCTAAGTATGGGGAGGAAAGGGAGAGTTGGTGTTCGAAGAGGGTGGTTCATTTCCATGGTCGTGGGTTGTGGAAGGGAATATGGTTGGGGAGAGGGGACTTTTGAGTTAGAGTTCGGTTTAGAGTGGGGGTGGGGGAACGGGTTTGATTTTGGCAAGATCGGTGGTGTGGTGGGGTGTCATTGGCTGTTATGTTCCCGTTGATTTATGCCATTATAGTCGATGGGGAGGAGATGGTTGCTTCAGTGAGAGTGAGACACGGGCAGTCAGTTGTTTGGAATGTTCGTCTTCGCTGGGATGTGCAAGATTGGGAGTTAGACCAATTGATGGATCTTTTGGGCTTTTTATATGGGTTGCAGCCCGGGGGATGGGGTGCATTATGTAGTGTGGGATGTTCGGAGGTTTAAAGGTGTTTTCTCAGTGCCTTTATTTTATGGGGGAGGGGGGGTTGGGTTGGATTCTATAGTGTGGGATGTTTGGAGGTCTAAAGATGTCTTCTTTGTGTCTTCATTTTATGGGGCCTAGGAGTATAAAAATGGCCCGTGGCCGGCCCAAGCCCGCTCGCGGCCCGGGCGCCTGGGCTTGGGTCATCATTTTGAGGCCTGGCCCGGCTCATGGCCCAGTATATTTTTTAGTGGAAAATAATAAAATTTTGGTAGAAAAAATTTAAAAAAACAAAAAAAATGGTCAGGCCCACCCAAGCCCGAGGCCAAGCCTAGGCCCACTAGGCCGGCCTGTCCAAGGCCCGAATACCTTTGGGCATGGGCCTAATATTTTGGCCCGTAGGTCGGCCCGAATTTTGGTTGGAGCCCGCGAGGCCCGACAAGGGCCGGGCCAGGCCAGGCCAGATTTACACCCCTGATGGGGCCCTTGCAGGGGATGTTATCAGTGTGCTTCCTTGGCAGTGTATTTGGGCGATGGGTTCTCCAACGAAGGTGTCTTTTTTTGTTTGGACAACTGCTTTGGGTTGTAATCTCACGATTGATAATTTGATTTGGCATTGACATGTGTTGGTCAATTAGTGTTGTATGTGTTGTAAGGATGCGGAAACGGTGGATCACTTGCTTCTGCAGTGCCCCATTGCGTCTAGACTTTGGAATTTTATTGTTGCTTTGTTTGGTTTGGTGTGGGTGCAATTGGGTTCTGTGTTGGGAGTCTTACATAGTTAGGGTGGGGCTAGGGTGGAGAAGCGGTGCCGGAAGGCTTGGATGCTTTCTTCTCATTGTTTGCTTTGGTTGGTATGGTTGGAACGGAACAGGCGAGTGTTTCAGGTTGAGTCTCATTCTGTTTCATGGTTAGAAAATAGGTTGTTGATGGTGTTGCATAGTTAAGTTACGGGTACTGTTGAACCAAATGTTTTGGTTTTTGTCGATTTTGTGAAGGTTTTGATTAGTTACTTTTGTTTAGTCCTTTTGTAGGCTTCATTTTTGTATTCTTTGCACCGTCTTGATGCTCTTTAAATAAGTTTGATTATTTATCCAAAAAAAAAAAGAAATTTGTCTAAGTATTTCTAGATTGAGAAAGTAAGTGCAATCTATCTTCATGAAGCATAGGATGAAGGTATCAATTAGTGCACTTCATTGTGTTCAGACAATGATATGATGTCGCCTATTGATAATTGTATGATTATGGTTGTTTGCAGTTGCTATCTTAGTTGCACGAAGCGGGAGCGGGAGCGGGAGCGGGAGCGGGGGAGCGTGAGCCGATAGAAGTTTCTTAAGTTGGGAGCACCTCGGAGAGCAGTAGTATATATATATATATTAATAGTTATTTTTTAAATATATTTATTATTTTTATCTTAGGTATTATTTTTATTGTAGATGGAAATATACAGACATCATGCTACCAATTAACTCCTTAACTTTTATTTTTCACACCCAGAATATATATATGTTATAATATTATTTTTTTTTTATACGTATAAAATTGAAAAAAAAAAAAAAGAAAAAATAAAAAGAGGGTCTCAAGTCTAAATAAAAAAGGGGAGACGAAAGACTGAGGGGGAGACGACGAAAAACAGAGAGGGAGAGACGATCTGAGAGAGAGAGAGAGAGAGAGAGACAACCTTCGAAGTGATGAAAGAAGAAAAAAAACAAAGCGAAGGAGGAGGACATACCTCGATCTAGGGCTTCAACTTCACCCTCTAGGGCTTCAACTTCACCCTCTTGGGCTTCAACATGTTCAGGTTCTTCTTCACCTTCTTGAATCTGGAGTTGTTTGATTTCACAGACGTTTTCATCTCATACCGAAACGTGATTTTCTCTCTTAAGAATTGCGTTTCTTACACGATTCTGATTTGGGAATGCAAAATTGCGTTTCTTCCAGAAAATCGTCACCTATTGTAACGATTCCTGGTACTAAGGTTCCTATAATTGCTTCATTCATTAGTCTCCATGGCTTTTACTTGTTATCCTTTCTATACACAGGAGCTACCTTTATGGTTGATTATGATGAGATCATAGCTCAGAGTGCTGTGATGTCACTGTTTCTTGTGCTGATTTTTTAGCATAACATATTGGTTGAAAAATTCAGTCATTTTATCCAAATTATTTGGATGTATATATATATGTTTATGTGTTTGAGTTCTTGTTTGCAATGAGTTCCTGCAGTGCTCACTTGGAATGGAACCTTGATGGTCTGCTGGACAAGATATGGGAGTATCTCAATTTAACTCGAATATACACAAAGCCCAAGGGGATGAATCCAGATTACGAGGACCCAGTAATCCTGTCATCTAAAAAGAAGACAGTCGAGGACTTCTGCAACCGAATTCACAAGGATATGCTTAAACAATTTAAGTAGTGAGTGCCCTCTCTAAAATTTCATGTGACATCTTTTAATTTTTTGAAAATTCATCAACAACATCCAATACGGGAGCAAGTTAAAGTAGTGACCTACATGTGCACTTACATACTTATGGTTGTATTTCATACCTCAGAAAAGTGGATAAAAAAATATGGTTCTTGTCATCTTTCCACCTTTCCAGATGTTCTAGATACAAATTTTAAATATTGGATTTTTCATTATTAAAATTGCATATCAAGACATTTGAGATTTATCATTCAATGAATGATTGACTAACAATCCACATCCACCGATATTAATCCATTTATAATATTTTCCTTTATGCTATGAAGTCATAAAAAAAACAATATTATCTGTTAAAAAGAAGTGCTAACAAAAGAAATACATGTTTTATATGTTTAGTTATATTTCCAAATAATTATACAAATTACTAATAGATCAAATGAAATCTCAAAGAATCCACTGTTTTATATGGTGAATAGTCTTCATTTTAGGGATTGAAACCTATTAGGTGCTAACAATTTCTTGGGGCCATCGGACTAAGGGAAAACCTTTGAATTAACCGCTGTGCACTTACGGAAAACTTCTTACCGAGGGCCTGTGCACCCTAGGGATTAGTCGGTCTTTGATCCGGACACCCCGGAGCCAATCAAAAATAAAAAAATGGTGAATAGTCTTCATCCTTTTTTAGCAACATGATAAAAAAGAAAAAGAAAAGAAAATAACGAAGAAATTGTGTGTGGGACAATTTTAGGAATCTTGGACAATTTTAGGAAAATAACAAAGAAATTACAGTGGGTTTTGGTTGTAGAGCTTCTGCCTTCTAGTGTTGGGGTTTTATGAGGGAGAACAGAGTTTCTAGAGTTTTTAGGTATACAAGGTTAGTTTGGGCTTGATTTTTAAGAGTTGCATGTTGCAGGATTTTTGGATTATTGGTGCCTACAATAGGGAATTATAGAAGATTTCAGTTGTAGAAATCTTCTAGCTTCTAGAGCTAGGGTTTTAAGAGGAGGGAAGAGTTTCTAGGGTTTCTTGGTGTAAAAGCCTACTTTGGGCTTGATTTCCAAGAGTTGCAGGTAATAGGATTTTTGGAATTAGTTGCAAGATTTTTCTGAGCAGCAACTATTTTCAGGTGTTTTAGTGGCCAAAGGGTAAGAGATGAGGTTGGGGAAGACTTGAGCTTGTTTGGTTAGGGTTTAAAGGCTGAAAAGGAGATTGTTCTATGGCTATGAACACTAACTTGGGAATAGTACTCTGAAAGAGGAGGAAGAAAAGTGTTTTCCGTCGTAGGAGTTGAGAAAATCTTGCACAAAACACAATATCAATTCTTTATAATATCAACTCTATCGAATCATTGAGATTGCACAAATGTTTTATATGTTTTAAGACTCCTACTTTTATAAGGATTAGGACTTAAATTTAGAGATTAAGAACATTTGGTAACTGTGACTGATACTCCTAATTAAATTCAAATATCATTACTCGACTTGTAAGAGCATGACCCCATAGCCCATGTTTAGAAATTTACAAAGTTGTCCAGTTTGAGTAGTAAGAGAAAGGAGCTTGGGACAAATGCAGTCTATTCTAGCTGAAAATCAACTCTAAATTTTTTTTGACCCCTTCTTCAACTTGAACAGTTTTTACTGTGCTCAATTCTAACTTTGTTAACTGGCCAAATGATGCAGTGCACTGGTTTGGGGTTCAAGCGCGAAACACAAGCCCCAAAGAGTAGGCAAGGTAAATTATGTAAACTGGATCTCATGTGCTCGGTTGCTCTTATTTCTCCTTTTTCCTCATTTATATTTGTTTACGACTATGCTTTTTATACACCAGGAGCATGAACTTGAAGATGAAGACGTTGTGCAGATCATCAAAAAGGTGTGATTACAAAATCTGCAATTTCACATTAGATGGTGTTGAATTTTGCGAGGAATATATGTGGTGGTGAGTAGAGCTTTCCTGATTTTGCTAAGCTTCGCTGTCAATGTTTTCCATCTTTCTTCGAGGATAGTTAGGTTGAAGAAAAGACGGAATGATGAGTAATTAAGTCATTTTGTGTTCAAATTATTAAGTGGTAATATATATATCTCCGGACCTTGTTTCTTGAGATAGGTTTTTTTTATGTGACAGGATGTAAGGTTAAAATATAACTCTGGTTTGAAGAACATTTTGAACAAAGTTAATGATGTGGCTTCTTTTTCGCTTAAAAACATTGAAATTGCTTTCTTTTTTTTTTTTTTTTCCTTTCTCTAAATCCATAAGCTGTCATATATTTTTGGAGAAGGGATGAGGTTTACTTGCAGGTTTTGAAGTTGTCAATTAGTTAAGATGAAGCAATATAATAATAAATAAAGTAATTTGTGCAGCCAAAGAGGCCCTTGATAAATTTTGTTTTAACAATCCTTTTACTTTTTTTTTTTTTTTCTTTTTTCTGCCCTTGATAAATTTTGTTTTAACAATCCTTTTACTTTTTTTTTTTTTTCTTTTTTCTTGTTCCTTAGAGAATTTCTAATTGCGTGTTCCATCGTCCAAAACTCATAAAAAGGGTATTACGACAAAAAAGATGATAAATAAAATGGTTAATTATACTCTCCCCCGTGAAGTTTGATCTAAATTTCAATTTAGTCCCTATAGATTCAATTTGAATAATTTGACCCCTAAGTTTTAATCTAGTTTCATTTTGGTCATTCTCTTAAATTTTTGTAATTTTGTCTGTGTACACTTCAGAAAATTGGGAAGTGTTATAAAACTGTTAATTTTAACATTCAAGACAGAAGAGTCAAATTAACAGTAGACTTAAAGTGTGGTCCAAAATTGTTAATTTTAACTTTCAATTTAAATGCATGGACTAAGTTGAAATTAAACTTAAAGGGTAGGGATTAAATTGTTCAAATTGAAATTATAAAGGTTGAAGTGAAATTTGAATCAAATTATAAGAATGAAAAGTGTAATTAATCCTAATTAAAATGTGCTTATCCTAATGTCGTCGTTAAAAATATTTCACTATGCCCAAACTTGTGATCTTCCTTTCAATGCAGGCTCCTAATAAACATTTGGGGGTTGTAATAATTCGTGTCATTTGGATTTGCAAATAAGGGACAGTGATTGAATTACATAATTCCTGGATTAAATTATTTTGTTTAGTCCAAATTTTGTAATATGAAATAACTTATTTCGTCCAATACTTCTATCTCGAATATACAAAATTATTTTCTATCTAAATATATCATTTTTATAGCAACATTGAGTAAAATGTCATCCTTGTGATAAGTTGTCCCAACAAGAATTTCACTGTGTTAATAAAGCCAATATAAGCCACTATTGGACGACGTTGGCGATAGTATTAAATGCCATAGCCAAATTTGTAGATGTCATTTTATTTTTGCTTGAAATAAAGGGCAGAAAAGGGGTAGACTGAATGAACCTAAACGGGTACGCCAATGCAGGAGACCAGTAGATGCTTTCTCACAATGAGCATGAGTCACGGTCTGATTGTAACTACGTTACTTTAGTGACAAAGAGTCGGCGGTCCAAAATTAATAGACAAAAATATCATCTCTAAGCATTGTCCCAAATAAATAAACTCATCTTTAGGAAACACAATTGACCGCATAAAAAAAAAAAGCCAACTTTCTGTCTCTAACTTTCTCTCCTAGGGTTGTTATTTTGAGTGAGTGTGCCGCTTGGGGAGGGGAGGGGAGGGGGGGCTCTGGCCTCTCTCCGGCCGCCTCTCTTCTCTTCCCCCTTTTTTTCTTTTACTTTTCTACAAAATAACTTCTGGGAGATTTCTTTTCACTCTCTCCCTCCTTGTGAGGTGCTACTTGCCCTAGGGTGAAAATTTCTTTGCGTTTTCTCCTCCTCCACCTCCCAACCGGAGCTTAATTTGCCACTTCTCCGCTGCCTTTCACTGTTTCGTGCCGCCACAACCACAACACCAATGGATCTGCCGCCTATCGCCTCTTCTCACTGCCGACACCACCACCACCACCACCACCACGCCGTGACCATCCTTCCACCAGATCTGATTCTTTCCTAGATCTTAGCTTCGGTTTTCTTTTTGAGTTTTTTTTCTAATTTTATTATGTATTTCTATTTGTTTGGGCTCCATGGGTGTGATCTGTTAGCTTACCCTCGTTGGAGTGAAGCTTTTGTGGTATCTCCGACTAGCCCTAGTGCTGATCTCTTATGATCGCTTCTGCTTTGCAATACGGGTTAGGATCGTGTATGATTATATCTTTGATACTATTTTAGCTTTGCTTATGTGTTTATTTGCTCATTTTTTCTTTGATTAGGGTAAGCTCTACTTGTAAGCATGGACGCTTTTGTAAGTGCCATTTTGGCTTATCATTAATAGATTTCTCTCCCGTTCAAAAAAATAAATAAATAAATAAAATCATCTTTCTGATTATCAAATTGAGAACTGATAATTATAAAGCAAAAATTAAAAGCAGTTTTTTTCCTATTTCCAAATAATTAGTTCTTTAATTTATATAATTCAAGTAAAAATTACATCAAACATCGCGTCTTTTTTTCTTTCATACACTAGTCAGCAAGTCACAAATCATTGCAAGGGTCCAACTTGTAGATGAATAAAAACTTAAAAAGGCACGTTAGAGAAGAATAAAAACCTTGAAAAGTAACATATAGAGATTAATAAAAAAACGTATAAGCTCTTAGTATTGTTCACATGTATGATCTTTTATTTTTCTTTTTTCTGTTTTTAAATGCTTGGTCCTATTGGATCTAAACACTAGTCCCATTTTGTTTTCTTCCCATTAATTACTTGTTCATACATCATAAAGACATTCGAAAATTCCATAATCATAAAACAAGATAGTCATCAACGCGCCGGTGGAATAAAAAAAATACCATCTCCATTAGATTCAGATTCACAAACACATCATCATTGTTCCAATGGAGTAAATTCACAATAATACATTACCATGACAGAAAAAGTTACAAATTGCGTGAAAATGCTTCAGAAATCTCAAGCTTTTACACAACAGTTGAAGTAGCTGAGAAAGCTTCTCCTCGTCTGTCAAGAATAGAAACAAATCATCGAGAGATACAAGAGTCAAAGCCCAGGTAACGAAATATAATACTTATTTCAGAATATAATCATATAAAACTACATGACAAGCTATTGAGGGATTTCAAAAAATTTAAAACAATATATCATTGTTCAATTATTTTTCTCAACAAACTCAGATACCCAATTGCTGTATCATTCCAATTGTGAAGTTGAATAAATAAATAAACTGTTCCTTTTTAATGAACAGATTGTTCAATTATTTTGTCTTGTTGAGCACATGGGTTGTCCCTGTTTGGGTAGATATATGATATATCAGACTGGTTTGGTATTATGCTGGTTTTTTGTTTTTATATTTGGTAAAACACAAACAACTAGGTCAGTGAATTGTTACCAAAAACTGTTTTTGAAAACAATTCCTAAAAGACACAACTATTTAAGAAATACCAAAAAGCTGTTTTTAATGAGTGAATGAATACAAAAAAAAAAAAAAAAACAACGATACCAAACAGGTCTTGATGAACTAAAGAAGTTTTTTCGTTTTGCTTGACATGACATCCGTTCCCACCCAACCCTAACTCCCCCCCCAACAAAAACAAAAACAAAAACAAAAAAATAAATATCCTGACCCTGCTGATGAACAAGAAAATAATGTGGGACAGAGGTTGAGGTTTTCTATCAAGGAGAGAATGAAGCCAATAAATTTAGATCAGACACGAATATTATTATATGGCTTGTAACATTCATTCCATGTGCACTACTTGTGCGCTTACCACTGGTCCAGGTAAATTAGGATATCATCCCCACACCCAATTGCTTCTAAAAACAAAATATTATGCTTCCCATTTTAAGCACACATCTCCATCATACAAGTTGTCACTGATCTCTCCCCACAAAGTGTGGTTCATATCCTACACCATCTTTCTCTTACAAGTACACCACATGGTGGGTTCAGACTCTCAGATGAGTCTCCTTCAAAACCTACTTGGTTTATTAGTTTTGGGACCCATTTCCTGGATAATGGATTTTAACAAAGTCTTCCGAAAAAATTGTTAGTGTGTTTCTTTGAAATGCATGCCCTAATGCACAAAAATCTTAATAAATAATGATTCAAAAGGACTACCATTTCAATTTTATACTCTCTAGGCCAACAAATTTCACACAAAAAAAATTCAAAATGATTCAGCTAAACAACCTTAGTCCAGTGCCACAGCAAGTGACAGGATTGCATCAGAATACATTATAATATGACACCACCCTACATGCATCCCATTATCATAAATATTTTTTTCTTTATTATATTCCTTGCCAAATTAATAACAACCACTATGAACCTTATCTATGTACTCAGTACTGTATTAGATCCCTGTAATAACTAAAACAACAACAATCTGCATATAGCTAGCTGTATTCAGTGGTGCTAATATACATATAATAAAGCTAATGAACAAATAACCCAACAAAATAAAGCCAATGAATCTTAACCAACAACAACTACCTGTAAACATATAACAAAGCTGATTAGTAAAGGCAAGGAATCTTACAGTTGGAGAATCGTCCTGGTGGAAATGGTGGTGTTGATGGTCACGGTGGGCTGAGTTAGCAGTGGTGGCGGTTGAGGAGATGAGCTCTTCTTCATTTCCAAGACTGGCTCTTGACACATCCCTCTTGTTCTGTTTTCTATTTTCTCTGATTTTTGAGAAATCCAGAGAGTAATCTGGCATTACTCCCTTTTGATCCCAGTCCCCAAACTGGGGAACGGACAGCCATGGTGTGTTCTTCTGCACAATGCGTTAAAAAAAATATGATTTTTAGTAGGAATCAACAATTCTTCCAGTTCCTGATATGCAAATGCATTGAAAGGGTACATTTACCATTGGTTCCCATAACCATTTTTCAAAAGGACCAAGAAATGCTAACCAGTATCCCGGGGCATTGATTTTGCATCAAGATTGGGATGAAAAATGTTTAGAAAATAGGTGAAAATGTTAAAAAAATGTTCTGAAATTGGCGACAAAAGTTTTAAAATTGGTATTAAAAACAATTGTTTCTTGCTATTTATTTGTTAAAATTGTATCTCAAAAGTTAAGTCGAAAAGTAAACAATGGAGGGTTTCTTGGAAATATCAAAGAAATCCATTTCCATGTTTTAATTTTCAAGTATTGTTTATTACATAGAATTGTCATCCTTTTCCTTTACATATTTCCCAAAAGTCAAAACTTTGAAACTTAAATAGCCCAATTTTTTTGGGAGTACATGAAAAATGTAAGATGTGGTCTTATGAGACTTTATCAGGAATCGTTCCTTCAAAATTATCTCATTTCCAGCTTTCCCATATACTTCTTATTTATTTAAAAAAATTCAAAATAGCAGAAATGTCAAACACAAATATTGAATAATTTCAAACCACAGCTGCCTTCAAAGTAAGAAAAATTAGAATTATTTTTCATGTATTAAATTTCAAAAGAAAGAGAAATGTAAAGGAAGGAGACTGGTCATGACATCCACTTAATTTGAACAAGAAAAAAAAAGAAAAAAACAAAATATGACAACGTTGACGGGTTCTCCCTTTAAAAAGGTTGAAGGATTGTAATTAACCAAATAAAAAAATCACAAAAAAAATTAAAACAAAATAAATAAACTTAATTGTAAGCCTGCTATTTTTAAGCAGATCAATTATAAAAATAAATAAATAAATAAACAAAATCACGAGAATTAAACATACTCGTGGATTAAAGAAAGCCAGTGTGGCATATGATAATAAACAGAATCAACAGACCTGCAAAAAACTATATCAACTCCTGAAAGATAAATTGGAACTTTAAGCTCCATTAAAGCATCTCCAATCCTTCACATTAATTGGATGAAAAAGTGCTAAAAAAATAATCTCCAATCAGTTCATCAATTGTTCATCAAATCAAGAGAGAGTAATTTTTTCAATCAAATTGAGAACTCAACAAGTCATTCATCAAATTGGAGGTGTTTTTTTCATTAAATTTGATGAATAGGGGAAATTGGGATAAGAGAGAAATTTTAAAAAAGATTTTGATGAAAATTGGATGAAAGGATTCGAGTTTACTCAAATTTAGAATCAAATTAGATGGAAAAATTGGTGAAGAGTTGAAGATGCTCTTAGAACAAAATCAAATTGCAAGAACAAATATTCATAAAATATATATATGCCAAAAGTGCTGGCACACAATATGTGAAATCGGTAATTACTAATTGACGTAGTTAGACAGTCTTGGTGAAGATAATTTTTTTTGCTTTTTATCAAACCCAATATATATATATATATACACTTTGATGAGAAAAAGAAAAAAAAAAAAAAAAAAAAAAACCCCCAAGAAACTGAAAATTTTATTTTTCTTATATTTTTCTCAGTCTCATGCTAAACAAAGGCGCACACACAAAAAAAGAAAAAAAAAAAGAAGTTGTAATTCATTTTCTATTTCCCACAGTTTGGATCATTTTCATAAACAAACCTAGCCTTCAGTTATCAAGAAAAACAACAGAATATCCCAAATCTAAACATCAAAGAAGAAATAGAAAAGGACAAAAAATAGTAGTAGTAAATGTAGAGATATGTAAGAGAGAGAGAGAGAGAGAGTACCTCCTTGCGATCTTCCATGGGGATTGGAAATCTGATCTCTGACTTAGATATTACTACTAGAGAAGAGAAGTGTTAAACAAACCTTATACGAGAGAGAGAGAGAGAGAGAGAGAGAGAGAGCTGTGGATTGTGAAGAGAGGGAAGTAGTATATAGGAGGAGGAAAGAGAGAGCATGTTTTTATTTACAGGGAGATGACAGCGCACACTCGTCTATCAGATTATTCAGAGAACCCGTGTGTCCGCGTCTATCTAGTCTACTACTCCTCATCATCACCAATCAATTACCAACAATAAAACATAAAACTTTTTGTTAAGCGTGCAATTTACACTTTACACATACGTTTTTTTGTTTGTTATTCTATTTTATGTTTATATCTTCTACTTATGTTTTTTGTGTTGGTTACATATAATGTGCAACGTTAGGGGTTGCACACCATATCAGCTTTACAGCCTAGTATACGTGTCTGTCTTGGGGAATTTTCATTACGCAATATATTTACCTCTTTATTTTTTATTTTTTTCTTTTTTTTTGGTTTGCTATTTACTCACATCTTTGAATAAATTACAAACACACCTTTTAATATTTATTCAAATTATAAATTATTTTTATAATTTTAAAAATTATATTATGTCTTCTAAAGTTTTTAATTTCATAATAAATATATCGTTTTATTAATAAATTATCAAGTTAATTAATATTTTTTAATAATGTTAAAATTTTATTTCAATTAATAATTCAAATAATTTTATTATTGTATAGATAAATAGTTAGAAATTTCATTTTTTAAATTAATTCTGCTAAATAAAAAATTCTGACAATGAGGTATTTGTAATTTTCCAAACCACGGGGTAATTCATATTTAAGCAAATCTTAGGGGTGTATTTGTAATTTATCCTTTATTTATTTTTTCATTTTTCACAAGCTCAACAATACTTGAAACAAGAAAACAATATGTTTTCTTTCTCAACAATTTAGATCTAAAAGCAACAAGTAGAATTAAAAAATAGAACTCTAGAGAGAGAAACGTATCTGATACCTTAGGGATCTGAAGTGATACATTTCCTCTCAAACACAGGGGCATTGTCACGACCCAAACCCGCCCCTATGGGTTTAGCACCGTAACCGACCAGTAATCCAAGATTACCAAAGGCCTGCGTAACAGTAATACAGTAAAACAGAGTATAGGGGCATGACGGAAGCCAAAACAGTAAATAAACAATGTCCAATGAGCTGTGACAGTCTGTATGCCAAAAAGACTTTTCACACACATATACATGAACAGTACAGAACAGTATGTACATATATACAATCATTCAGTTCAGGGACCTAATCCCTATTAAACAATACAGTAACAGTCTATACAGTTATACAAAACAGATACAGAGACAGACGGGGAAATTAAAACACCCTTAAGCCATAACTTGACAGGCTCGGGACCTCGCAGTGAGGCACAGTGGTTGGCTTGACAAAATTGGAGCTTACCCCGACGCTTCTAACCACGGTCTGGTGCCTGTACACCTACATATATATATGAGCAGTGAGCTAAAGCCCAGTGAATAACACAATGCGTAAAGGGGTTAAGAATGAATGTCCTTACAGTAAGAAAACGCCTTTGGCCTAATCACTTGTATCAATCAGCCTTCGGCCCAATCATTTATGATATGTTGTATATATACAAATGCTTCATGAAATTGATGATGGATTATGATATTAACTACAAAATGGTGTGTAAAAATACTTGAATTAAGGGAAAAGAATGAGTAGAAGAAAAAGCCCCAATTTTCATGTGAACCCTAGGGGCTTGTTCTTGAATTTGGATTGAATGGATTTGAATATGTAAAAATTGGGAAATTCTTGAAACGGTTAAGATGGTATGATGAAATTTAAATGTTATAGAACGTGTCTGAGTTGCCCACTTACTGGTTGTGTGAGGACGACAAAAGATGGTGCTATGTTTGAGGTGCCCACTATCCGGTCTACGTGAGGGCGGCAAAATATGGGGATGTGTAAGGCTTCAACTGGCCGATTCGTATGAGGACGACAAAAGTGGAAAGGTTTGTGGTGTCCACATACCATCTGTGTGAGGACGAAAAAGTGTGGTGGTTGATTATGCATGGCAGTTACAAATAAAGAGAGGAATATATAAAAGAACCTTATTCATTTATAATTGATTCATAAATGTTTTTTTATCAAATGTTAAAGTTATTCTCTACTAGGTAAAATGCTCAATCATAAATCTTTCCAACATTTCAGGGAATGAAGAACCCCAAACCCGCTTATGAAGATGATTGATGGAAAAGATATTTGTCTTATTTGTTTTGTAACCTTTTGATCTTCTATGGACATGGAATTGTAATGATAAAATTTGAAATCCTTTTCTATTTATTTTTAAGTTTTATAATCTTGTTTAAAAATCCTAACATAATATATTCGTTTTGTGATTTTCTCTAGCTCACTGAACAGGGATATGTATTTTGTAATTATTTTGTAAACAAAACTCTACGGTTCAATGAGAAAGAGAAGTAGTGTTGGTTGGAATCATGTGAGGGTAAAGATATCATATTTAGGAATGTATTGTCATTTATTTAATATCATGGGTGAATGCATTGTTAGTTTCTTTGGGGCGTTACAAATTGGAATTAGGGCCAACCAGGTCTAATACCTGGTGTTCATGGGGAGTAACCTTGTCACATGGGGTTGATATGTTAGTGTGAAGAGCTGATGATTTTATTTGATTATGTGTTTATATGAATAGGTGTGTATGGGGTCAATCCTCTAGGATATGACTTGTTTTCAGTACATTCATTGAAGTCCTTATGGAAAGGCATCTGATCAATGCTTCTTCCATTAGGAAGTCCTTGGATGTCGTGAAATGAGTTAATACCCTAGGAGAAGGATCCATATGTGTTCTATTTGTTTGCATGTTTAATTGTTGAAAATGATATTAAGACTTGAGGAGAAAGTGATGAACTAGTATATGAATTGTGAGTTAATCTTGTCCACATCTACTCTTGTATAGGATGTCGGGACGTGTTAGGGGTCGTGGTAGGCCTCGTCGAGGTGGTAGGAATATCCCGATTAAACCAGAGATTCCTCCTCAAGACGAGGGAGTGGGTCAAAACAATGTGGCTGCTCCACTGGCCCAAAACGCTATGGCTACGCTGGCTCATGAGATGGCCGGAGCCCTTAGGGAATCGATGGATATTCTTAGAGCCGAACAAGTTGCTAGAATAGTTGAAGGGGAGACTACAGTTTCATTTCCGAAAAAGGAATTTTTTCGCTTGAATCCTACCGAGTTTGTTGGGGGTGCTGAATCGTTAAAGGTAGACGAATGACTTGAGCAAATTGCTAAATCTTTTGAGATCCTAAATATTCGAGATGGTGAACTTCGGGTGGCGCTTGCTAGTTGTCAATTGAAGGGGGATGCCAGCCAATGGTGGAAATATGCCAAAGACCGAGTTGAGCATACTTGGGAGTCGTTTACTCATGCCTTTCAAGAGAAGTACCTCTCTACCACTGCGAGGGAACATTTGCGGAGAGAGTTTGAGGGACTTGAATAATCCGATTCCACAGTGGCAGAGTTTGAGGCTACTTTTACGAGCCTGTCACGTTTTGCACCCGACCTAGTAGATACTGAAAAACGTAGGTGTCTAGAATTTGAGAAGAGACTAAGGCCAGGAATTTCGATGAAAGTGCTGGGAAACATGATTCGGGATTCTGATAGGTTGGTAGAGTCAACAGTACATGTTGAGATTATGCTTATAGGAAATGAAAAGAAGTGACGATTTAAGAGACAAGGGTTTATAGAATCTCGAGGGGGTTCTATGGCATCAAAGAAGTCGAGGAGTTCTACACCTTCTCATCTACCGGTGCCACCAGTTGCATCATCAAACCCCATGTCGAGAAAGAGTACAGATAGTACAAGACAAAGTGAGATCACTTATTATCGGTGTGGTGAGTGGGGCTATAAGTCCATTACATGCCTGCAGAGGGGCAACCAACAACGCCAACCTCCTACACGTCTTCAAAATCAGACCTTGAGTGGGAGTCAATTGCCTGTTTGTTACCAATGTGACCAATCAGGTCATATGAAGAAGTTTTGTCCCCAGCTTATCGGGACGGCTAGTGCTTCAGGGTTTCAGGTCGGATAGAGCCAGAGACAGACTCATCAGCCAGTTTAGTCTAGATAAGCATCTTGAACTATACATATAGCTACCTCCACACAATTTGTACCACATGTCTATCAACAAAGTGGTGAGCAAAGTGAACAGAGGCCTCAATGGAGAGTTTATGTAGTTACCACATCTGAACAATTGATCGGACCTATGGTGATGCGAGGTATATATTTTTTGTATAATACCTGGGCTCATGTGTTGATAGATACGGGGGCATCTAATTCTTTCATAGCATCTTCATTTGCATCCATGTTGGGGTTAGAGGCCGAACTATTAGAATCTCCTCTTGCAGTAGAATCACCGATTAGGGGTAAGATAGTATTGAATCATGGGTGTTGTGGGTGTGTGATAGAAGTTGTGGCTCGCCAACTTCCTTTTAGTTTGGTGTTGTTAGAGATAACGAGTTTTGATATTATTCTTGGCATGGATTGGTTGTCCTCTTATCGTGTTGTGATATATTGTTACCAGGGAAGAATTACCGTGTGTACTACTAGGGGCGATTGTTTTTACTTTATGGGGGATAGAACTGATAGGCTTTTAACACCATTATTTGACTCCCGGAGTCAAGGCAAATTCACTTCCCTTATTACAACTTTGAAGAATGATGGGAACGACGAAGTGCGAAGGGTACTTCTTAGGGTGGTTTGTGATTATGTAGATGTTTTTTTGGAGGACCTTACTGAACTACCACTACATCAAGAGGTCGAGTTTTCCATAGCCTTAGTGCCGGGTACCACACCCATTTCCATGTCACCCTATTGATTCACACCAGCAGAATTGCTTGTCTTGAAAGAACAATTACAAGAGTTGT